CCAGTCCCTGTGGTAATTACTCCCATCATTGATTTGAGCTCAAATCTATAGGATTGCAGCCTCCCCCACCCCTTTGTAGAGCAGGTGCATCTTAAACATCTCTTGGCTAGAAAGTTGGGAGCTGTAGCACAGAGTAGCAGAGGGCTTGCTGAAATCATTGAGTTTTGCCAGGCTGAAGGAACACGTGAACTGAAGGAACAGGTGAATGTAGGGAAAAACTTCAATTGGAACTTGGAATACCTGATTCTAAGTCATCAGTTCTAATCTTGGTGTTCTGTGCTGCTGTGTATCTTTATTGCTGCTTGTCTTCCGTGTTTGCTTTGCTTAAGGACCAGGCTGGGAACTTGGGGAAGCATCCTTTACACCTACCCAAATGAGTTTCCAGAAGGAAGGCATTCTTCTGCTCTTATAGCTGGGTAAAACATGAGGCCCTGTGTTACTTAAACACAGATATGTAAACTGTGAGGTGAGTTTTGTGCAACCATCATTGCTACAGGGCTGCTTCATTAAAAGGAAAGCTGCGGGATGGCAGCTGGAGGAATGTGTGGGCACGTTGTTTAACCAGGGATGTGCCTGCTGCCATCCTGGTCCTTCCACCAACCTTTGATATCTTGGTTGGCATCGCTGGCTGCTTGCTTCAACTGGGCAAACCTGGTCTGTGTGTCTGGGCAGGTCCTGGGATGCATGGAGCAAGCTTCTCAACCCCTGCTGTCTGTTCTTTGGCCCATGAACATGTGATGGTCGGTGTGAAACTTCATCAGGAGCCATGGCTCTTCTTGGCCCTTGGCCTTCACTCTTAAGTGTGTGGCATATTTCTGGTTTAGCTTTCCAGGAAACTTTTCTAAAGCATTTAATAAATCTTTACTTTTCTCCTTGAAAAGAAAGAGAATTCAAAGGTTGTTCTTAACCAGGGAAGGCAGGTATTGCAAGTCCCGTCCCTCTGTGACATCTCTTGGTGTTTAGATTTGCCCTATTGCATTAATCCTATGTTTATGGCAGATTGTGGAATATTGCTTGTTATTTCTCTTATTTTTTTCTGCTACTGCCTTGCTGTCCTTCACATGTGAGGTACCCCCTAGCCTAGGTCCTGTAAGCCCCGTAGTAGCACGTCATGGAGTGTCATGGTCACTTGTAGGGACAGGTAGCAATGGGGATAGACTTCTGGAGCTGAAAGGGCACTGTGCAGAAATCAAACAACCCAGTGATGTTCAGGACTAACTGCCAGCCTTTTCTATGCCTGATTTTCTTACCAGGATAGTACCATTGCTTTAGATTCTGTGCTTATAGAGTCATAGGCACTCAGTTATTTAACTAGCAGGAAGGCACTTTGTGGAGGTTGCTTTTGCTTCCCTGCTAAATAAACCATCTACAAGAATACAACTTCCAGTGATACAACCTCAAAGTAAGGGAACAGAGTTTTTACCCACCTGAAAATTGTAATTTCCAAAGATACTCTGAAATGGGTTCCATTTATTCTGGGTTAATGGTAGAAGCATTGCATGGCAAACCAAAGCCTGAGACAAATTATGTTGGTGGTTTGCAGCAGCTCTTCCTTCCTCCTCCCCTACCTGCCCACAAACGCTGCCTGTGCAGACAGCACAACCTCACTTGCTACCTGACTGTTCATTTTTTATTTCTGGAGTTATTTCTCTAACTTAGGCCAAATTAGATTTGGTTATTAAGGCAGTCATTAAGTGGGAAGCTGACCAGCACATCTGGAATTGTTTAGAAAAGCAGATACAGCCTACTTAAATTTTCTTATTTTTGGTGGTTTTTTTTTTTTTTAAACATTACTTAATGTATGAAGCTTCTTGCATGCTGCTTTTTTGGTTTCAAGGCCACATTTTTGTTGATGGACTCTTCTAAGAGAGAGATGGACCATTGCACACAAATGTACAGTTTCTCAGAAGTGAAGGTGAAACATGAAAGCAAATGTTCTTTCCATGCAAAATGAGTGAAGTAGTGTCTGCTTCCTCTCTCTTCCCATAGCAAGAATAAAAGGTTCTATATCTATGCTCTGAACACTTAGAAGTGTTCTTGTACTTATTTGCCACAAGATTGGGCATGAAAATGCATGGTGAGTAATTAATTTCTTAGTATCTGGATGAGTGATACCATGTGCAGCTGACAGGAGTGTGGCTTTCTGCACAGGAGGAGGGAGTTGGTGCGTGGAAGCATCTTGGCCTTGGAAAAATCCCCCAGTAAACACGGGGATGACTCATTAGGGATGTAGAGATGATCTTTGTTCCTGCATTTATGAGCTATGCAGCTTGAGTTCTAGCTGTAAAGCTCTTTGTTGTACTGTGCAAGAGGTTGGGGAAGTCTTGGGGCTGTGGGACCGTCAAGGACGTTAGAAAATGATGGTTGTGCAGAGGGGAGGAGCTGGTAGGGGTTGGAGGCAGATGCATTTCTCCAACCAGAGATCTGCGGATGCCCCGTCACTGGGGGTGTTCAAGACCAGGTTAGATGGTCCCTGGGCAGCCTGGTCTGGTACCAGATCTGGAGGTTGGTGGCTCTGCCTGTGGCAGAGGGGTTGGAATTTGGTGATCCTTGGGGTCCTTTCCAATCCAAGCTGTTCTATGATTCATTAAATTAACCTTTTTTTTTTTTTCCTTTTTTTCTTTTTTTTTTTATTAGAATTTCTTATAAGCTGGAAGCCTGCTGATTTTCCAGAGCCTGGTCACGCTGTGTTGTTGTGGCCCTGTTTGAGCCCAAGGCACAGGGCTTTTTGATAGCAAGAGGCCAACAGCAGGGCACAGCAAACATATAACATATCCAGGCAGCTCCGTAGTCTGTGAAAGTGAGTAAGCAAGCAGCCCAGTACGCTGATCACTTGTTTCTATGCTGCAGCTGCACAACACAAGAATTTGGATGCATAGTTCTCATGTGCTGAGAAATGACTGTGTGGGGCAGTGCAGGAACGTATGGCAGTTTTTCAACTTCAGGCTCTATTGTAGGTGAGCTCTGTGCAGGCCAGAAAGCACAGAGATGGGAATATATCCCAATTGGTCCAGCTTGCAACGTGATTTTGCAAGGAAGGGCAAAAGGCTTTTGGGCTTAATGCCTTGTCCTCTGCAGCAGGAAGGTGATGGCAAGAAACAGCCATATCGATTGGGCTCTCTTGGCAGCCTTGCTCATGGCAGCAGCACAGATTTTAGGGTAAAAGACTATTAGGGCTATAGAAATAGAACAAAAGAAAGGTTACCAGTGGTCCTTCTTGGCAGTGGTAGCTCGATGCCTTTTAACAACGGCTTCTGTTGTCATGGAGCTCCTGAATCCAAGGCTGAGTTCTGGCACTGTGATTTTCTCATGGCAGAAAATGTTGTCCTGTCCTAGCCTTGGGGGGAAGAACAAATAAAGGCAATAGCCTTGGCAGCGCTTTATTATTGCAGCTCAATTGCTGAACTGCAGTGGGAACATTACCAAAGGGAAACCTTTTCTGCACAGAAAATCTTGATATTTTTTTTTTTTTTTTTTTTTTTTTAAAGTTGGCATCCACTGTGGTCTGCAAAATGTCTTTTATAAGAAGGTGTTTGGGTAAAGATATTGAATGGTTTATACAGAGCCTTGCTTTCCTCTGAGTCAGCAGTGTTTTGAGGTCCGAACAGAGACCTGAATTCCCCATCTCAAGGTTTTTGGAAGGTCTTTCATTAGTGGCTCATTAGTGCCTTAGAGTCCTTTTTCCTCTTAACTTTGGATGTAGTCAAACAGCTCTGTGCATCCATTGTCTCCTAAAATGATTGGTAAAGTAGAAAATAAGGTATTTCTTTGGCACCGTGTTGGTTTAGCCCTGCCTGCATTGAGCTTCCCGTTACCATGTGAGGTGACATTTTGGAAGGAGCAGAAATACGTGGCCCTTCCTTAAGTCAGCTCTGTTTTGAAACTCTCTGATTACAGTTATTTAAAAACCTTCAGGCAACTGCTGGCCTAAAATCTGCCTGTTAAGTACCACGCACTAATTTCTCTTGCTCCATCCACCCACACCTGTGGGATCGGGGCAAGTCTGGATTGGCTTCACCACTAGGGCTGCAGGGTATGGTGTGGCAACCACTGTGACTCTGCCCTTAGGAATGACCAGCTCCAAAGCAGAGCTGTTTCCCATCCTCCGGTGCTGTGTTTGTATGTGAAAGCTTAGAGGTTGAACTGAGGAAGCTGTTCTGTCCTCGGTTCCTGATTATACAACCACGAGAGGTTTAAGCAATGTCTTGAAGTGGCTGTTTTATTATAGCCTGGCTCTTGCTGAAGTCTGAAAGTCTGGCTCGGAGGTGTGTTGTTCAGTACTGCCCATCGCTGTGCTGATAATAGAGCTCCAGGAGAAAGCAATGGCTTGGCTTGGGTTTTGTGGATTGCCAGAACAGTGTCATCTTGGAAGGGCAAATCTCCAAGCTCTATGTGGGAGAAGGCTGCTGTGCCTTAGTGTCAGCAAAAGGAACGTGGCTGAAGCGTTCGGAAGAATTTGCTGAAAAACTGTTCTAAACTGCCTATAAAGGGAGCAATAGGTAGTGAAGAGAAGGAAGGTTATAGATGATGAGAAGGTGGGAATGGTGGCTGAAGCCAGTGAGTCCACCAAGAAGGCCTTGGGTAGGCACATGGGGATGGAGCGTGGTTTATCCTTCCACCGGTGCCTGACTGTAGCATGGGTGATGTTTTAGTGTTGGTGAGATGGTAGGCAGCTGTCTTCACCCACATGGCCCTACAGGTGCAGTCATACAAGCTGGCAAGAATGAAGCATGTGAGATGTGCAGGAGCACATGAAGGGTGTGAAACGATGATGGGAGCTTGGGTCAATGGGCAATGCTGCTTCTGTGGGATTTTCCCCCTCAGTCTTTGAGCAATTCCTTTTACAATCAAGTATGTGTTCCCATTGGACTTGTTTCTTCTTTCTCCATGTGACAAGGTGATATTGTTTTCCCCTGAAGAATTATTTCCGTGGCTACCATTTAGAAATATGTTCCTATATTCTTCTGTTTCAACTTATTTTTTCCTGTTTTGTTTTATAGACACAGATGAAGACACGGTAAAAAGATGTTTTGCCACGTTTGAAGAGAAGTTCTTCCAAACCTGTGAGAAAGAACTTGCCAAAATCAACATTTTCTATTCAGGTAAGGTGCTTATTTGTGTATATTTGTGGAAAATGCAGCAACATAAAAAAGAGTCTGAAGCTCCCAGGCTTTCAGAATAGCCACAGTGTCCATGAAAGGTCTAACATCAGGTAATTACAGGGCAGGTTTATATGGGAGACTGCTCTGGTTTAATCACAGACGTGGAACCAAACCATGGTTTTTGAATGGAAGAGAATGAAGGACAGGCACTTTCATTTCTTTGTAATAGCATCCTACTGAACTTTGAAGATGCTCTTAAATTTAAGTGGCAGCTTACATATAGGGCGCATTTCCTCATCCGTGGTGACAGTCTCCTGTGTGTGTTTAGGCAACTGCAGAGCTCCCCCGTTGGTGTTTTTGGAGCTTTTGCAGAAGGATCTACTGTGATCTTGCCTGTGTGTGTCCACTTGTCTGCCTTGACACTTCCAACAGGCTTTAAAGCACCTCATTTTAGCTTTTGCTGTGTTCTGGGGTAGATCAGTCAGAAGCAGTTTGTCACTGGCTGTATACACGATCCTGGTTAGTAAATTTGGGTAAAAATATGATGGTGTAAATTTCAAAGTGCTATTGTTTGTTTTCCCCGAGAAAGTTTGCGTTCCCACCCTTGATTTGCTCTGTTATATTGCTCCAAAAGGCTTTTGTGTACTGGTGTGCTCTAGTTCCACCCACCATTATATCTCAGCTGGTTTTCTGCCTCTTTTGGTAATGCTTGAAATGGTTTTTAACTGGAAAAGAGTTTAAATATGGGTACAATGAAGTACTGAGTGCTGCCATACTTTCTCTCAACGTGTTCTTGATTTATTGGCATCTTGCATTAAAACAGGCTTTTGCAGCACTTCATGGTAGCCTTCTCTTTTTATTTTGATTGGATAACAAAGTTGAATTGTGCAAAGTATTTTAATAATCACCTAGTATGACTTTATTGCTAGCTGTTTTATTGCTGGCAGAGTCTGGGTGGTGAGCACAAGAATAGCTAAAAGCATAATAGATGCACTGAGTGTACACTGCTGCTTGCCTCTCTTCAGCTTCCATGTAGGGAAGCAAACCTTCCTTGGGCTGGCTGTGCCAGCTATCCTGGCTCTGTGGACCTGTTTTGATGGAGCCATGGTGGGTACAAGGAAGGACAAGGCAAGAGGAGGTTTGTAGCTAGACAATGTTGGGCCAGCTGGGTTGCACGCTTGAGTCTGTAGGCATTTTTCTATGTTCAATTCTTATGTCCCTGCCTAAACTCAGAACAGTTCTCAGTTGAGTTTTACCCTGACTGTTGTATCAGAAAATACCATTGTTGTTATGCTCAGAGACTTGTCTTACTTTCATAGAATCCTAGAATGGCCTGGATTGAAAAGGACCACGATGACCATCGAGTTCCAACCCCCTGCTATGTGCAGGGTCGCCAACCACCAGACCAGGCTGCCCAGAGCCACTTTCTGAGCTGTTTCAGCTGTTCTAGTAGGAGATCCTGTGTGCTACAAGCTAGGCTCCATGGAAGAAGTTCTCTCAATTCATATGCACAGTGCACATGATAATTTTCCCTAATGAAGACTTTCTAGCACATATGCACCCACATCCACACACCCCTTCCCTCATTGTATAGAATGACATTAATAATACAGAATAGGATTTTTTCAATTTGCTGTCATTTCAAGAAGTTATAGAAGCAAATATGTGCAATTTGAAAATCTCTTGTGGAGAGATTTAAATAAGTCTTTTATTTGCAAGAGAGCAGTGTGACTGGAATAGTATGGAAACCCCTTATCAGTGTTGTTAACGTGAAGCTACGTAGAGCAACCAGTGAAGGAATGTTCTTTGTCTTGTCCATGTCAGAAGCATGCCATGTTGGGCTCTGTTATAACTCCAGGCAGGTGGTGGCTTGCATCATGAGCTGCTACTTGCTATTTATTATGAGCTCACTATATGGCTTGTTAGACACTTGTCTTTATGACAATAAATATTTCCTGCTTGCAGGAAGGCTAATCCTTCTGCTGATCTCTGGTTCGTTTTCTCCTCCCCTCCTTTTCCTGTCCTGAAGGCTCTGCTCTGAGCACTGCCTTGTGCTGTGTGCTCAGAGACTGTTGGCTTCCATCAAGCGCAGTCTTAATTCCCCAGGCTATTATTCTGCCTCTGCAGGAAGGAAACCTGCCATTAAATAGATCTGATTTGGTAACCAGTTTGTGATTATTTGGACTTCTCTCAAGTAAACTTATACCTGATTGAAAAGAAAAAATGGGAACGTTCTTGGATAGTTCCAGTGGAGAAATGCTTGCTGAAGAGTTAAGGTTTCATTTGTGGCCAGTTTTGGTTTGTGCTTGGGACCCTCCAGAGTGAATCCTTGTTATAATCTAAGTCAGTGTAATGCAGGGAGGTCTGAGAGAATCTGCCCTGAATGCACTCTGGGCAGGGTTGCTGTGAGCTGCTATGGGCTGCTGGGTTGCCTTGTGGCTGTTAGCAGTTTTTAAGCGTAGCCGTGGCCATGCAAGTGATTGTTGTTCCAAGCTGGAACTTGGGGAGTTATTTTACCAGCTCCTTGGTGTGATGTTTTTTCCTGATCCTTCTCTTTAAGTTTGGAAAATAGTCCTTAGCTATCATTTTGTTGCGTTTTCGAGATAAGTTCAGGTTGGCAGCCCCTTTATTTGCTAACTAATGAGACAGTGCTTCTAAGTGGTGCAATGCAACTGAGGGAAAGGAGGGGAAAGTGGTGATTGCAGATTGTATACAGATGCCAGCAGCCTCGTAGCTGCTGATCAAAGCAGGAGCTGCATCTGTTACTGGGAGCTTGCCAGAGGGGTTGAGCTGCTCTCTGAGCTCCAAAACCCAGCCATGCACATGAATTGTGTTTCTTCTTTGATTTCTTTGCTGTCATATAAAGCGGTAGCAACCACGTGGCCGGTAGTGGATGTGCAGATCCTCAAAGTCCTCTGCTGAATTTAACACTTGGTAGGTAAGGCCATGCAGTAGGTTGTTCTATGCAGAGCTATTTACCTACAGGCATATTGTTTGGGGAAAAAGCCATGCTTTCCTTTACAGGTCTGATAGGCAAGTTGCTGCCCACTCACCTGCCTTTTTCCTTCCTCTACCAACAGAAAAGCTTGCAGAAGCTCAGCGCAGATTCACTACTCTTCGGACGGAGTTACAGTCAACGTTGGATGCACAGAAAGAAGCCAGTGGGGCTTCCACGCTGCCACGGCGCAGAAAGCCAGTCTTCCACCTGTCCCACGAGGAGCGTGTCCAGCATAGGAATATCAAAGACCTGAAATTGGCCTTCAGTGAGCTCTACCTCAGCCTCATCTTACTGCAGAACTATCAGGTACTCACAGAGGGAAGCACTTTGAGAAACCTCTGTGTCTCCATGTCTTTGTGCTTGTGTTGCCTTCGGTTGCCTCATTCAAGCCAATTTTGCACATCATTTTAGCCTTAGAGACCCTGGCTTAAATTAAAGAAAGGACCAACACCTAGCAGCCAGCAACATTCTTCTTATAGGGTTGTGTTGAGCTGGAAGCACTTTGCTGACCTGCAGAAGGATCTCGGATCCTCTTCCATTTCTGAGCTCTCTGAGCCCAGCACTCTTGGCATGGTCACAACATGCAGTCACTCTGGGGCCTCATAATTTGGTGGTATGTTGTTCTATGCAGGGTTAGAGCTGAGAAGGTGGGGAAGGAACTCTTTTATCTAATGTTTGTAATGGAACTTGAAATGCTAGCGTAATGTTTCCTCTTGGTGTTACCATGGCAGTGACTCTGACCTTGCTAGATCAGAATTTCTTGTTAAAACATCCACTTTAAAAGAATGTTTGTAATTCTGTAGGACGCAGGCTCGAAAGAAGTATGAGGAAACAAATCTGTAGTTGTAGTTGGACTTGTAGCACGAGGGGATGTGACAAATATTGCAGACAGTGATTTCGTTCCAAAATTCTGGAAGTATTAAGATCTTGCTGGGTTTTTGTTTTGTTTTGTTTTTTCTGGGCTTGCTCTGCTTTTAAATATCTCACTATGTTTATTTGTTTTACCACATTAAATAAGAATGGTTTAACATAGAGTCTTTGACTTAAATTTGCTAGATCTGTATTTAGGTCCTTACCAGTAATGCCTGGAGTCTTTTTGCTGTAAGAAATACTTGGATACCACTGTGTAGCGTGGACAAAACTCAATGGGAGGTGACAAAGGTCATTCCTCTGACAAATCCTTTCCTGTTCTACATCAATGAAAAAAGGCATCCTGCACACTTACCTTTTTGACTTGTGCTACCATGAGTCCAGGAGCGGTGTGTGCATGCTAAACATTTGCATAAAACCCATCTGGATCTGATAGCTTTCAGTCTCCAAAAGGAGCAGAGCTTCCTTCTATGGCATATCTTCAAAGAGAATGAGAAAGTCTGTTCCAATTGGTCTTGAAGTTGAGGACAAGGAATACATACACTAAAGCCAAATCCCATAACATTGATTTTAAGCACCTTTGAGCTTAGATACAAGAATTAGAAATATTCAGTAGCTTGAAGTTTTAGAGAAAGAAGAAGGTGACCTGCTGGGACGATGGAATAGCTGGGGTCATGTTGTCCTTCTTGCAGGAAATAAAATGAAACCACATAGATTATATAAAATACTGTGTTTTAGAGCAAAAAAACCTTGCAAAATTAACTAATATGTTACACTTATGAGGCAAATAATTGAGGCTGACTCGGTCTCACTGGAGTGCTGTGCATTTGCCTCGTTGGTGCATTTCCTAACTAGGTATATGAGCAAAGATTGCAAGCCTGCTGCTTCATCCTACTTGATGTTGCATAATATTACTGCACAAGTGGCACTGTTTTTTCACCTTTAATGGCAAAGCATGCCATTAGTCAGCTGACTTCAATAAATACAAATAGTATCCAGCAGAAATGGAAGTCAGGCCTGGAGAAAGCCCTGTGCCAAGTGAAGCATCTTGAATAGCAGGACAAGCAAAATGTGTGACTGAGTGCATGACACTGGGTTGTGTGAGGTGGCACCAGGAGGGATGCCACTGTGCCCTGAGGACACTGAAGCCAAGCTGTAGGTCCTGCTAGTGCATGGATCAAGTGCTGTCAGTTCAGGCTGTGGAAAAAAATCTCTGCCCCAAATCAGCATTTTGTTGCATCTTTTTCATTTCAAATTTATGAAACGGTGACCTGCTCTCCCTGGGTTAGAATGCTGGCTTTTCCAATGGAGAGTAATTAAAGTCTGTTGTCTGCAGTAATGCAGATCAGTAATGCATTGGCTTCCTGCTCCCATCTCCCTAGCTTCATTTCCCCACCTATGGCAGGGGTCTGGTACTAAATCACTCACAGTGTAATTAGATTGGAAATAATTTCGGTGAGTAGTTGGTGCCTCTCCCCAGGGTATTGGATTCTGCTGTTTTCTGTGTTTTTCTTTCCAAGCTAATTTCTAAGCTTGTTTTGAAGTGACTCTTGCATGTGTCACTGCTGTCTGAAGGGGACGTAGAGCCTTTCGAGTTGCATTTTCTGTGCAATGAAGTACAGTATTTCAGATGCATCCTGTCACAGCAATTGCTGTTTAATGCAGTGTGCTGAGCTTTGCCTATCTTTGCTACTGGGTGTTAGGAGAGTCTTGGGTCAGGGCTTAGCACATAGCTTGGAAATCAACCGTTATCTTTCCTGCTTTAACGTTTTGTCGTCTGCTTATCTCACCTCCTGTGTCTTCAAGCCTAGTAGACTGGTTTTGTAGTTGTGGGGTGGGGTGTGCTGGGGAAGAACGTGCTGTCCTGGGGCTGCACTTGGCTGGATTTCATTTGCAGCTGTATGAGGATTTCCCTTCTATAACGTGCTTATTTTGAGAACTTGGAAGGTTTGGAGAAACTAGAAATCGGTGGCCTGGTTCTCTCCAGTGGAGAAAAGCCCTTGAAAAGACTAATGTGTGCCTTCCCCTGGGGGATTTGAGCCAAAACATGCTCTTCCTGTGGCAGTTTTTAAGAGCTCATTCCAACTACTGCTTTTGCAGAGACCTGTTGCTGAGCTGCAGTACCTGGGATGCACGCAGTCAGGTGCCCATGCAAGCAGAGCATGTTGGAGAAAAGTTAGGCTTGTTTGTCATTCCTTTCCTTGCTAGCCGTGGCAAATAACCAAGCTGAGCTTCAAAGGCAGTAACTGTTTCCCTCATCTGCAGAACCTGAACTTCACTGGCTTCCGCAAGATCTTGAAGAAGCATGACAAGAACCTGGAGACAACACGAGGGGCAGAGTGGCGCGTGGCTGAGGTGGAGGTGGCACCCTTCTACACCTGCAAGAAGATCAACCAGCTCATCTCTGAAACAGAGGTGAAGATGCTGCTCTGTGTGCTGCTCCTATTGCAGCTAGAAAGCAATGGTTTCCTGTTCGCTGCTGATTCCTGTAGCATCTGGATGTAGCTTGTGTTCACCACTAGGGCAACTAGTAATTAATGTACCACTGATTTCTTGCATTGCTTGCACACACGTGTGTAAGTTTGTCTTTAGCTGGCAGCTTTTCACTTTGAGAAACACTGTGTTGTTGCCTTACCAGGTAATGGTAACTGGATACATCATAGGAAGCTTTTCCTATCTTTGTTATCATGTTTTGGAAGAACACTGAACCAGAAGTCAAATGTAACTTGGAAATCAACTGTTACTTTTTGTTTTAATGCAGTATCCTGTACTTACTGTTAGAATGAACTTCCGTGATGTGTGTCTTTATCTCCTTAGGAAGTGGTGACCAATGAGTTAGAGGATGGGGACAGACAGAAGGCTATGAAACGTTTGCGTGTTCCACCTTTGGGAGCAGCTCAGGTAAGCAATTGATAGAGCTAAGCTTCAGCAACTTGACAAGTTGCCAAATTAGATTTGAAAGTAGTGAAAATACATGGATGTGAGCATGCTCCATAAATTGTGAGGGCAGGGTAGTCACATATTCTGCTTTAGTTCCAAAAGACGTGGAAACAGATTGCAGGCACGATAAACACAGGGATGAGGTGAATAATAAAGAGAAAATTGTGCTAATTATAATGTATGCTTACATCCTAAGAGCTGCTGAGAGCCCCCAGCTCTGCTTCAGTTCAGCATCAAGATAGGCAAAAATGTTATGCAACAATTTCAGTGCTGCACTTCAAGGAGGAAGAATGCAGTCTGAGATGAGGCTGCATCCCTGATTTAAAACGTACTCTGCGAATGGATCTGATTTTGCTGATAACCTTTTTAATCCCCCATAATTCCACCATTGCTTTGTTCACAGCCTGTACCAGCCTGGACTACATTCAGGGTTGGATTTTTCTGTGGATTGTTCGTTGCACTGAACGTGACTGTCATACTTTCAGGTGGGTATGTTCAGCAGGACCCTGCTGGCTCCCACACCCTGGTGTGGATGTGTTCTTGTCTCTTAGCAGGGACTTGCAACTGAGCTGGTCAGCCTTTTGGGTTGGATCAGCCTGGGTCAGGTCATGCAGTTGTGAATTATTGCTGCTCAGTAATAGATCACGTCCTTCTTGTGTTACCTACATGGATTTGGACTTGAAAGGATGCTGATTTTTCTTCTCCTGGTTTCCTTCTGGAAGTGTAACATCCGTGTGTAAAGACACGGTGCTTGTTCTGTGAACACGCATTCCTCTTCCACCTTGAGTGAGGTGTTTGCAGAACTTAAATTTTGCATAGCACTGATTCACAACAGAGAATAGAACATACGTATAGCTATGCGAATGCTGTGTCTTTCCTAATTTTCATTAGGAGTGCATGAGAATGGCACAAAGCTGTGCCAGGGGAGGTTCAGGCTAGATATCAGGAAGAATTTATTTACCACGACTGTGGCCTTGGTTTTATTCTACTATTCCAAGTTTGAGCTCTCACAGGAGTAAAAGGAAGGTCGGTAGTCTAGATCCAGATATGGGGCTCCATCACAAGCAGCCTTACTGTGGTGTGTGTGATTTCAGTAATGTAACTTACGTAAGCAGTGCAACAGACAATCAACATATGAGCTCTTGCATTTGGGAAAGCCTGTGTCTGTGTTTTGATTTGAGAGAATTTTTAATCAGATGTTTCTGTAATTGGATCTGAACATCTCCTGGGATAAAATTTCTCTGTTTTAGAAGCTGTTTGCTCTTCCCTTTTGTATAGTAGAGTTAGAAAGTTGCCCCGTCTGTATGAAGGCTCCAATGAATGTGTAGGAGCTGTTCTTTATTCATCAACCTTTTTTCTTGGTGTAACTTTCATGTTTGGTCTGTAAGATGCAAATAGGACTGAAGCCTGTAATGCTCATTTCATCTCAGTATTAAGAACAAAAACGAGACGCGGTTGTGAGCAGGAATTCATAAAAATGATTACACCTCTAAAGCAGATGTTGCTAAACTAGTGTAAATAATTGGTATGTTTGTATCAGCAGACATGATCTGGTATCTCTGAGTTACTTCACATATTGAGCAAAAGCTGCATCCTAGCTGTAAGTTATTTATTTTTAATTGGGCATTCTGTTGCTAACCTCTATGGTACTTTTGCCAAATTGTTTTCATGGTATGATTCACTAAGATAGGATTTCAGAGTTGTTTGTGTAGAACCTGTGAAGCAACATTACACCATGGCCACAGTAGTAAATCGTATCAGTGCTGTTTGGGGCTTAGATTGAACATCAGGAAGCATTTCTTCATGGGGAATATGGCCAATCATAGAATGGCTTGGGTTGCAAGGGACCTCAAGTATCATGAAGCTCCAACCCCCCTGCTGCAGGTAGGGCTGCCAACCTCCACATTTAATTCTAGACCAGGCTGCCCAGGGCAGTGAGGGAGTTCCCATCACACGCTGTAAAGTGTTCAGCTGTGTTCGCCACAGGATAAGTCTCATCTGGCTGTTCTGTCTCACATAACAAGCGTATCTGTTCTGGTCTGCGTGGTAACTTCTGCATGTCTGATTCAGTATTTTGGGGCTACTCTGGGTTTGGGAGCAGCTGCAGACATTTCAGATAAAAAATTTGAAATGCATGCTTTAGAAATTTCATGCTCAAGACTCCTTTCTTTCAGTTCATCAGTGCACCTCTCATTTCTGTCCAAGCTTGGGCTCTGTTTGCCTGAAACTGATAGTCTGTAGTTCTCTTCTCCCTTTAAAGTGCTTATGGATGAGAAATACTCAGTGGAACTGGGGATGAGGACAATTGTATGTGCTCTTCTCATCAAACCTCTATGAGGAGCGGAGATGCAGTGTTCTGCAAGGGGACTCGGCTGGACGGAGCGCTGCTTTATAGGGCTGCTCACTGTTTGAGGCCATTTCCAAAACCCCAAAGACTGAACAAAGCAAGGAACAGACTTTCCCATATTGCTGCCTTGTGTTGGTTATTCTGCTTGGGTGCGGCTGGCAACTATATTGCTGGTTATGAATATGTATTACGTTATGGCTGTACCTACTTCAGTGATCGGACGCAGTTCAGCGTTGCTGTAAATGCTGTAAATTGTGCTGCCTGGTTTTGTGGGCAGCTGAAATATTTGTATCTCTGTCTGGTGAGATTTCCTCTCCGTTAAAGCAGAATGTGTAAGTGGGTGTAGTGATGATTTATGCTTAGTGCTGTCCCTTGAGCCTGCGGTGTGAGACGGGGGACTTGAGATGCTGCTAATGACCTGACTGCACAAGCTGGAGAGAGAATTTTCCCCAGAATACTCATAAATCCTCGAATAGGTTAGGCAGAAGGTCCTCCAGCTGCTAGAATATGCAGGTGAATGACAAGCAGGCCATGCTTTCCTGGGCCGGGGCTGAGTATCTGAGAGCCAGAGCCAGGAAGCGGAGCGCAGGTTTGATTTGTGGCATGACTTGTGCTATCATTAAGGCCCTTTCATCTTTTTCTTTGTCAGGTGTGGCTTTTATAGATGGACCAGATGTGTGGCCACTGGTGAGAATCTATCGAGGTGGCTTTCTCCTGATAGAATTCCTCTTTCTCCTGGGTATCAACACGTACGGCTGGAGACAGGCTGGTGTGAATCATGTCCTCATCTTCGAGCTCAATCCCCGCAGCAACCTGTCCCATCAACATCTCTTTGAGGTAAACAGCACAGACCGTTAGCAGAGGCTGAGCTGTGTGCATCAGGAGGATAAGTCCTGCACCGTTTCCTGGCAAGGAATTCTAACACAATTAGAGGAGGAAGTTGCTGAAGTCTGATTAGATTACAGGGTTGCGCACTGCTCTCCCTTTTCTTATAATGAGAATTCATTGTGGGGCTTGGAATTATTTTTTTCACAAGGTATCTCTGTATTTTGTCTGTCTTTCTGCAGATTGCTGGATTTCTGGGGGTTTTGTGGTGCCTCAGCCTGCTGGCATGTATATATGGTAAATTCATCTACATCCCTATGCAGGTGAATCCGCTCATCTTGTATGGCTGCATGTTGCTTTTTCTCATCAACCCTACCAAAACCTTGTATTACAAGTCCCGTTTTTGGCTGCTCAAACTATTGGTAAGTCTCAAAATATAAAATATAAAATAGATAATTAAAAGATTAAAAAGCTGTGGCTAAGCTGTAGCAGTTGAAATATGTGCAAGCATCAGTAATCTTCAGTACAGAGGGATATTTTACCATTGTACCTATGTATGCATAGAGCAAACCTGATAAATAATTACTGCACCTTATTACTTGCTATTTCTGTTTGCCTCTACTGTTGTTATCTTCATATTGCAGGTAGTTACTGGTTAATCTTCACGTATACAGCTGTGTGTAGCATGTCCCTTGATGTAGCTAGTCCTTGACCCAGCTGGGCATTGCTGGGTTTACTGATGGAGAGGGAATCTTTGCAAAGGTTACTGCTTCCAGGTTACTGTTTCCAGCAAATCTTTTATGTTCTTAGAAGACCTTATTTTAGACCCAGCTACTGTTTTCTTGGTAAGTTAAGTCTGGTAAATAATGAGTAGTAGATATCCATGCTACTTTGATGTACCAGTTGCAGGTGGGAGTCCAATAGAACTCGTTGGATGGCTCATCAGTTTCTTCCAAAATGGCTGTTTCGCATATTTGCCCCCACCCTGCAGGCCCTTTTAAATTAACCTCAGTCACTTTGGTTCCCTTGATATCTTGTTCTTGCTGGAACTACTCTGAGAGGGGAATTGGGCTGGCTGACATTATTCGTACAATCGTTTTAGTGCCAATTAAGACAATTAACTTTGTCTGGAGGATGGCAAAGATGAAATGTAGAGTCATGCTTTAAGTGTGTGCGTGCAGGTATACATGCAAGTAGTTAACCTCTTTAGCCCTGTTATTTGATTTGCTAAGTTACAGCTACTTTGGTTTCTCCCCCTGTGCCTTCCAGCATTCAGCCACCTCTCACAAATGTTCCTTTAGTCCCAAGCCTCATTAGTCTTCCTGCTGTCCCTCGATGCTAGGAAAAGTACAGCCAGTGATCTGACTGTAAGCAATCTCTGTGCTAATTTACCCTAATATCTTCGCAGGGTAAGATCCTCAGTCTTCACAGAACTGTTAGTAGCTGTGGTTAGTTCCCAGAGCCTGCTCTATCTCTAGACCTTGCTGCAGCCTGCAACACAGATGTATGCGGAAGCCAATTCATCCCAAGGTCTCCTGGGGAAAAAAGCTCCATCAAAATGCAAGATTGCTATAATGGTAGAAGATCACAAAATTCTTCTGTGTGTCATGCAGAAGGGGGAAGGGGAGAAAAGAGACCAGACAAAACCACTCAGTGTAGCTGTGAAGCTTCTCCAATTTTTATCTCGTGCAGTTTTTATTGCGTATTTTATTTCTTCTCTCACCAGCAGCTATCTGGGTGAAAGGAGGTGTGAATAGTGCAGTTCTTAGAACTCTGCTTTTCACACAAACTCTGACTCGAGGAGCATTTTCTTCTCACACTTGCTATGCTTCATCTCTGGCAGAAATGCAGCCTGGTGTATCGGGTGTAGCTGTGCATTATTGGCACCTCTGATTTTTCTAGAAACAAATCAGGAGGATGTTGTCAGTGTTTTACAGCATTTCCTGATGGAGTGAGGAAGCTTTCTGCATCCACCTGTGCTCACTGGCTGCTTGTTGGTGCTCATGAGCAGGATCTGTGTTGATAATCCCTGATGGACTGCAGGTCACTTCTTGATCTTCCTCTGGGTGAAAAAATGATTTAGCCTGTAGGGAGTTTAATCCCTTCTTTCTTGCCTGCGTGGCACCCTGCTGACGTGAACCTTTGCCTCTGCTTCCAGGAGAGGAGCGTGCTGCATGCATTTGTGTAGGCTGAGGGAAGCAGCTCACCAAGAGGAATCAGATCAGAGTGCAGAGCATGGCATAGCATCTCCATACCGGCCTTTCTGCAGGGAGCTGAAATGGGGAAGCAACTGCAGGGAGCAGAGCAGCATGAGGTGAAAATCTAGGGAAGTCTTCAGCTCAAGCATCTGCTGTCTCAGCACTGGCTTGAAACTGCAGTGATCAGCACCAGAAAGTTTGCGCTTGGATTGTGGAACTGCTGAAATATAATTGCAACCGATTGCTTGAAACTGAAGTTGGACTCTTGGCTGTTATTGCTTTATTCTTAGGGCTCATCTTCAGCTGAGGGTTTTGCAGATTCCCTAGCTGGGGAAGGTGGATCTGCTTGTGGAATGTGGATGTGCCAACACTCTTTGGTCCCTGCTCTACAGCTGTCTCGGGCCTGGGGAGGTGTGCAGCAGCCCTGATCAGAAATGGCAGCTTTTTGGGGGGTTAGAGGAGTTCAAACAGCAGCTCCTGTCTGTGGGGATTGTGGATGGTGATAGCAGGGCCTTAGCTGGGCCATCTGCATATCTGTGACTCCTTGTCTGCTCTAACCTTTAGGTGGAAAGCTTCTGCTCTCTTGAAAGTTCTGTGCTGTCATCACCTAGTGTCCGAGTGTCTCTCATTAATCATAGAATCAGAGAATGGCTCGGGTTGGAGGAGACCTTCAAGATCATCTTTCTTCTGCTATTGGCCCCAGATGTGAACACAGTATTCCAAAAGGGAACGTCATGAGGGCAGTGCAGAGGAGGACAGTCCCCTCCCCGCCCTGTGCCACCCCTCTGCTGATGCAGCCCAGGAGCTGATGGCCTTCCAGGCTGCAAGAGCACACTGCTGCCTCGTGTCCATCTTTCTGTCCACCAGGACCCCCAAGTCCTCCTCAGCAGGGCTCTCAATGAGTTCTTCTCCAAGTCTGTACACGTGTCTGGGATTGCCCTGCCCCAAGTGCAGCACCTTGCTCTTGGCCTTGCTGAGCCTCTTTAGATTCTCATGGACCCACTTATTTGAGCCTGTCCAGGTCCCTCTGGATGGCTTCCCTTCCTTCTGCTGCTTGAATTGCACTGTGCAGCTTGGTGCAGATTTGCTGAAGGTGCACGCAATCCCTCTGTGAATGCCATTGATAAAGATGCTGAAGAGCTCCAGGTTCCCCTGGAGTCACCAACCTCCACCTGGGCACAGAACCATTGACCACAACCCTCTGGCTGCAACCACCCAACCGATTCTTTATCCACTGGATGGTCCACCATCCAAATCCATAGGGCTCCAATTTAGAGATAAGGATGTTGTGTGCATTAAACTGTTAGGAAAAAATAAAATTCTATGAGTAAAGGTAATCAGATGGTATAAGGGGTTGCTCGTAAAAGGGAGGATGTCTGTATGAGAAAGAAGGCTGCTGCACCTTCTCTGATCTCTCCAGCAGTGCTTCCACGCCAGGGCTGCTTTGAGAGCAGCCATCCCTCACACTCAAGCCTTTGTAATAAGTGCTGTCCTACCTGAGCATGGGAGCTTTCTGGGTCAAGGTCTCTATCTGCTATTTAATGCCTCAAAGTCTTGATCCCTTCCTTGGCTTCGAAATATAGAACCTTAAATTGGCATTACTAGCCCAGCTGGGGTTGTGTCAGTCCTTTCCTGGGTTTCCATGACGGTGTATCATTTAGGTTAATAAGGAGAGCAGTATAAAAGATCATTGTTAGCCTGTGCTTTCATTAATTTAAAGGTTCATAAATCTCTCAACTACAGGATGGTGCTGGGGCTGTCTCTTTGAGAAATTGGCCGTTAGTAGCTATAACTAACTGGGTAGAGAGAGTTGTAATCGAAGGTAATGGACCATGAAAGCTGGCTGGTTTGAATGTAGCAAAACTGCTGTTGAGGCTTAGAGGGAAAGTGGACTGGGATGAAGAGGGAGTTTAACTGACACTTAATAGGATCTCCTCTGCTCTCTATTTAACTCTTTGGTGCTGGAGGGTTTGGGAGATCCAGCTGAATAACGGTACTCACTGGTACAACTTTGAGCGCCAGAGTACAGTTAAGTACACTGAGACATGGTCAGATTAAGGGCCAAGTTATGGGTTTCTTATCTGACTGATATTAAGTCTGAAGGACATCAGTTAAGGTGACGTGTGGCTGAAAGAAAGTGCCAGAAGTGCCTGGTCAGCATGAGGAGCACTGGGAAGAGCTCTTACGCGGGGACTGCGAGCTTGGTTGGGAAAATGAAAACTTGGAGAGGATGAATAGTTAAGCACAGGAGGAGAATTAGATGTCTGGAAGCAGGAATTTTATTTGTACTTGAAATAGGGAGACAATTATCTTTCTTTTTTTCAGCAGGAGCAAAAGATCAGCAACAAATCTGCAAATATTTTTGTTTAATTCCCGTATTTGTTCGACGCTGTGATGTTCTGCTGCTGCAGATGGGTCTTTGCTAATATGTCACACAAATTATTCCTTTTTCTTTCAACAGTTTCGAGTGTTCACCGCTCCCTTCCACAAGGTGGGCTTCGCAGATTTCTGGCTGGCTGATCAGCTCAACAGCCTGGTTGTAATACTCATGGATCTGGAATACATGATTTGCTTCTACAGCTTCGAGGTTCAGTGGACGGACAGTGATGGGCTTCTGGCAAATACAGGTAGAGAAATGCTGACAGCTTTTTGAGTGCTGTCAGAATGACCTGAAAAGTACCAAGCAAGGCAACTTCTTAGGCAGCTGATTTGAAAAGGCCAACCAATGACATGGAACTGAAATAACTGGCCTTTCTTGTAAGCTTGGCATTGGAGAGATTCTGCCGTTTCTTGCTTCCATCCAGAGAAATGGAATTTCACATCAGTGCTCGTTTCCTAACCCAGTCGTTTGGCCTGACTTGCACATTCATCAGAGGATGTTAGAGCACTTATTGATTGGAAAGACAAAACGACTTTCCTGGCGTTGTTTCATTTCAGTGGTTTAACCACCTATTTGCTTTTAGCCTGTTGCTGTTGCTTAGCACGAAAATGAGTTGAGGTCGTTAACCACAGCTTTCAGTGCTGTAGCCTGGTTCTTAAAGGCTCCATCAGCATAGCCTGAAGCAAGAGAGGACTGAGAAACTTCCTCAGAAGTCCTTATTTGTCACATTTGATGCTATAAGAGCAGGGCGGTGCTTGCTCTGCCTCTCTCCTTTCTAGCCAGGGAAGTCACAGAGCTGATGTGTGAATTTTGACTTTGGCCTTCCCAGTGGCAAAGCCATACCTGGCTCCTACTGCATTAGGCTGTGTTCTTTCCATTTTAAGCAGTGACTGCTGGCAAATTGTGTTGTCTGATGGTTTTGACACTTGCTAAGAGAGATTGCAGCATGCTTCAATAAGCATCAGCATTCGCTTTGTTTTTCCAATCTGTCTGATCTTTATCTTCCATTTATGACAGTGTTGGAATTAACTACGTATTTGTCTTATTCAACAAAACCAAAAACCAAAACAAGTTATAAAATAACTGTGTGGATAATGATTAGTCCTCCAAACCCTGGAATAAAGTGCTTCAGAACAACTATCAGCTAACGAAGCTGTCTCCTTTAGTTTGAGTAAGAAACAAACATTTGTTTTAAATGTGCTGAGCAAGACTGCAGAAAAATATGGTATGCTTGGGGGGTTGTAGTTAGAGCTGGGATTTTCTTGGTTGTTTCCTTAATGAGAGGACTTCAGGCTTCCTGTGTGACATGGTGCTGTGTTTGCGTAGTTGCCTCTCACCCCAGTTGTTCGACCTGTGTTCATGCTTTGCTCCATCTTTCAAAGATGGAAATAAATAAATGGTAACGTTTTTTTCATATGCAAGAAAAGATAAAAGTTACTGACTCTGTATCCTTGACGCTTTTTTCTTGCAGATAATCAGATTTGTTACAGCTACTCCTACGGAGTCAGAGCAGTTGTCCAGTGCATCCCTGCTTGGTTGCGATTCATCCAGTGCCTGCGCCGGTACCGCGATAACAAACGGGCCTTTCATCTGGTTAACGCTGGAAAATATTCCACCACCTTCTTTGTGGTGACATTTGCAGCCCTCTACAGCACTCATAAAGGTACTGGTTATGTTGGAAGGCCATCTGCCCATCGGTGTGCTCATCAGATCACGCTCTAGAAGGGATGCTGAAGACCACTTTCTTACCAAGTTTGAGTGATAGCAGTGTGAAAACGCAGTATTGGTTCTTTATGTTTAAGTATTGTGTCGTGGTGCTGAGCTGGTTTTTCATTGGTGACTCTGCTGTTGAGGAGTGGTCAATATTTACGTGCACAGCTCTGGTGGGGCAGATATGTCTCACCATTTTTTTTTCTGTTGAATGAGAACATCCTGGGCTAAGTCATGGGGTTTTCCTCTTCCATGGGGAAAAACTTAGGATTGGCTTCCCTTTCAAGTGTAGACTTTGGCCTTTCAGCATCTGTGAAGCATCTCAGTGGAAAGTCAAAGGGCTGCCTAGCTGGTAAAAAGTACTTCAAGATCTTACTTGAAGTATTTTTTGCATACCTGCTCTAAAGGAGGAAACTGGAATACCTGTCAGTTCTTGCTGTGATGGGAGGTTGGGTGGGAGACGTCTAAGGAGAGGGAGAATGTAGGAAATACTTCTGCCTTGGTATTCATGAACAGTTGCAGCTTGTCTGTCATCCCTAAACACAGGGAGATGTGCACAGTGCTGGGAAAACGCCCTCTCTGGATTTTCCTGTGTGTTTTTATCCATGTTTTTTTCTGCAGCTGGCAGGGAGTTGTTTCCAATCCATTTAACTGCAGATTGAGCTCTGATCCCCAAGTTCCCCATCTCCCTGGAAACGACAATTACTTGATTCTGCTTCTTGCTCTGAAGGAAAAAGCTTTCCGTTTCTGCACTTCAGGCAGTCACCCTGCCTCTCATTGTTCTCAAGTCCTCAAAGCTGTATTCTTTTATTTTAAAATATACGCCTCCTTTATCTCCTGGAATTAACAGCTACACATGTTCATGAGCTATTGCTTATCCTGACATATGATTGTGGCAAGGCAGGGAAAAGGGTTGGATGTATGCTCCTAGTTCCCATGCTGGTTGTGGGTGAGGAAGCAGGGTTATTAGAAACCTTTCTGTGGCCAGTGGTTCTGGAGCCATGCATGTAACATTTGCTAAGCTTTGCGTCTTAATGGCACAAACCCAGCATGGCAACGGTGGTGATGGATGCTGTCAGAGCTCTTCACCTTGCTCCTCGTGCATCCCCTCCTGCTGCTCCCCCACAGGACTTGCTCCCATTGTAAGTTGCTGGGTGCCACCCTGCTGCTCTTTTCTTCCAGCCCTGCACTCTGTTAGTCTCAGCTGCTATGCTGTGAGATGAGACACGTAGAGATTGCCTGGCTGTGGTCAGTGCTGGTATGGTTTATATATAGTGCCTACCTTTAGGAGGCTGAGGGATGCTTCTGCCTCCCGTGGGGACGCTGTGGAAGAGCCCCCTGTGGGAAGGCTGGGGTAGGTTTGGGACAGGAGGAAAGCCAGCATCTGGGTAAATATCCTGTGGAAGGACTTGACCTTTTCCTACTCCCCAAGAGGTTTGCATCCATGCCAATGCTCTGACCCTTGTTCTCATTGCTGCCACACACAACTGGTGCCTGCCCCTGCACACAACTGGCAGGCAGTGGGCTGTAACGAGGTGTTTATGAGCCCAACCCAGGCTCTTTCCAGTGCCTGAGACCTCGGTGACTCCCAGCTTTGCTCTGTCCCATTCTCTTCTTAGTAGCAGCTGGTAGATAGGATAGGATAGATAGATAGGATAGGATAACATCTGCATAGCTGTAGATGTCATACAAAAGCAAATAAAAATTTGGGAGCTTCGTGGCATTTAGAAGTGACACATCACACAGCTTCTGCAAATGTCACTGCGCCTGGACTGGCAGTGGTTTTGTGAGCACTGCCTGAAGACCTTGCTACGTCTTGTCAGTGCTGTTGGCCGTATCCCCCTGCTGCCAGAAACGCGCCCTTGGACCTTCTTAATTCTGTTCAGATCTGCTGGAATTGTATCTGTGTTCTTTGCATGCGTTTCCCCTTCTCTAAACTTGGAGTCAGATGGACTCTTAGCAAGTGTTCACCATGTTGCTGTTGGAAGTAGAAGCGCTGCTCCCCCACGCTTTCTGTCTGCCTAAGTATAGCAGAGGCAAACACTGGTCTCTTATTTACAAAACAACTATTAGGGGCTATGGATGTTTGCTGCTCAGAACACCAACACTGCCCCAAACAGGTGTCAAACGGGTAAAAATCCTTGCTACTTAGACCTGTTCTAAATGACAGTTAGTAATGAACCTGTTAATTGCTGTTTTAACTAGAGTTTTATTTAAACAGTTTTTCATGCCTCTGTTTGCAAGTCTATGACTTATAAGTCTGGAATGAGAGCTTTCAGCTGCCAGGAGAAGAGGGTAATTTGTGGCCTTTTCTTGGGAGGTCAGGTAATGTACACCAGGCAGTTCTCCCTGGGAGCCCCGAGGAACATCATGGCCCTCTGGGGAGGGTTGTCTTCCTCCACTGAGTTAGAACAGCAAATAATTTGTAGTTGTTCTTTAGGTTTTCTCACGTCTGCCAGCTGCGTGGAGATGGGCTGTGTGGTTAGGAGGGTTTGTCAGCATTAAAATCCAGCTAATTCACCTGGAATGCACTTACATGGCACTGTTGTGCTGGATTTTCATATACTCGTTGAAAACAACTGGAGCCAAACAAATGCACAGATGCCACTTTGTTATGAATAACTGTCATGTGCCGATGTGATACTGCTTTATCTGTGGCTGCTAGAGCAAAGGTTCCCCCCAGCAGCGACACAGCAGGCTCTTGACTCAGTTTCCCAAAGGACTGCAGTTTAATAACCCCTTGTGCAGTGCATAATTCTGGTTAGAAAAGCAATTTTTCTCTTTGGGGTTTGGATTCCAAATGCAACTTGCTCTGCTCTTTGTGCTGTGCTGTTAGATCCAAGGTACCAGAGTACACACAGTTAGTCCTCTCTCAGACTGGTGCTCTCGTTGTCCTGGAATGAAGCTTGTTTTGCAGAGCCCCCTCCAAGCTATCGTCTCCTACATTAGTGCCGCTCAAATGCGAGCCCCTCACAGAGAGCAGGAGCAGTGAGCAGTGACTCGAGCTGCCCGCCCTGCTGCCAGCTCACAAACACAAGCACATTTCAGGGAAGACAGCAGGAACCAAAGGGCAACTGTTGCTAAGCTCCCAAAGGAAGAATTCTCAGTATTTTTATATCGCTCAAAGGAATGGGAAGCAAAGGCCGTGTTCTGTAAATATAGTCCTCCGGGATATGTTTGCACAGGCAAATGAGGCCTATCTGTAACTCTAAGCTACCTAGCAACTGCAGCGTGTGCTGGCTGCAGTGCAGCAGAGCAGCAGCCCTGTCCCCTGTAACTTGCTTTTTTTTAAGCTGAAATCTGTGAAGCTTGCTGCCTTACCGAGGAATAGAGATATGACCCGATGAGGCAGCAGTCATCCCGAGATTAATGAGCTTCTGCATGAAGGTGTTGGACCATCTCTTACTCATAGAGAGCTTCAAGCAGGCCTGAACAGATGAAGATGAATGGGAAATGTGCTGCTGTGTGGAAACCCAGTGGAAGACTGCAGGTCTGTTTCCCACTCCTCATTCATCACAGTGGTTAAGGTTGCTGCCAGGCTTGACACCGAATGGTGCAGCTCACTTTGCATTGGAACGGGTCACTATTTCTCTCTGGGTCTGTCCTAGCACTGCACAGCTGTGGCTTCCAGGTGAGGGGAGGGTGGGCACACTGGGTGCTACTGGGAGCTGTATCAGAGGATACCTGGCTGTGTCTTAACTCTGCCATCCTCTACCTGCCAAAGTACTGGTGGCTTAGTTGGGGCGTCACTTATGGCTTTTTGGCACCGTGTTAGAAACTGCAGGATGTAACCCCTGTGGAGAGAATTTGCAGATAGGTGGAATGGTAATTAACTGTGATCCTGAATGGCTGCAGCAGGAGATGAGCGAGGCAACGTGAGAGCTGGGGCTAAAATGAATTAAACAAGTCAGACACTGGTGCAGAAAATAGCAATACCTCGTAAACAAGAGGGAGATCATCTTTTTACACTGGTAGAGAGTGATAAAGCAAGAGGGAATGGCTTTAAATGAAAGGAAAGGAGATTTAGATTAGATGTCAAGGGAGCTTACCACTGAGAGAGTGGTGAGGAGCTGGCACTGCTGCCCAGAGCTGTGGTGCCCCATCCCTGGAGGTGCCCCAGGGCATGGATGGGCCCTGGGCAGCCTGAACTGGGGGACAGGCAGCCCATGGCAGAGAGTGGAGCTTGGTGATCTCTGAGGTCCCTTCCAACCCAGTCACGCTGTCATCCTGTGGTAGTGAAATGGGTGGGGAGAAACTAGCAAAGCAAAATAAAAGGATGCTTAGAGTTCAAGTGCAAATTTTTAGTTAAAAAGGGCCCTTTTTTTTTTTTTTTTATATGGCAGAGTGGAACCATAGTATTTGTGAGACCCTGTTGCCTTTGTTATTCCTTGCATGTCAGTACAAGATCTCTCTTTCTCTGTGTTGGAACAGCTGTCAGCACTGTGGCAAGCCAGATGGTTTGATTTAGGTGTCACAAGAGCCTTGTAGAGAGCTTAGATTGACCTCTTGAAGTAAAACAAACTTTGTAATGGGATTAACTGTCTTCTTTCCTAAGTGGCTGCCTTCCTGCTGCTTGCCTTAGCACGGCATACCAGCAGCTCCATCAGGGTGATTATTTGGAGCCAAAATGTGCAATGTCTGTCACATTGCTGTGAGCTAGGACGACTTCTGGTCTGAAACCCTGTCATCCCATGCCCAGGAGGCCCTCAGTAATGAGTTGTGTTCATTAGCCAGTCTTTCTGATCCTTTTTTCCGGCAGAGTGGTGGCAGTGTCATTAGCAGAGTATGTGAGGAATTGCCACGGGGCAAGCATTTCCAACCCGGCCTCTGACCCCCGTCCCAGAGCCAGCCTGGCTTCCCATGCCAGCTCGTTGGCTCTAATTGCTCACCCAGGGCTCCAGGTGATGCTGTGGATGGAGGGGGAGTCACCCCCCGAGGGAGCCCTGTGCCTGGCGGCACGCATTTATAGGCAGTGGGATTGGGAGCTGCCTCTGCACCCTGAGTGTCAGCACAAACGAGGCGTGAAATCCCGCAGGGACATTTTCCAATTCTTTGTAGGCCTCTAAATGTCAAGTGGGATGCTTGGTGGTGCCAGCAGCAGGGCTGTGGGGGAGAGGCACCTCGGCACCCTACCAGGCAGTGAATCATCCATCTGGTCCCAGCTTAACGTGACTGGAGAAGCGAGAGCACTAATGAGTAAGGTGTAAGTAAAAGGGATGGCCTACCGGTTTACCTTCCAAGGCTGTGCCAACCTGGGCTTCTGTGTGGCTGCAGGAACCTGGCAGGTGCAATAAGTCGCCATTGGTTTATTTTTTTTTGGTCAGGGACATCGTCAGTGGGCATGGTGGATGGTTGGGCTAAATGATCTTAGTGGTCTTTTCCAACCTTAATGTTGCTATGAATCCCTAGATTAGACCACAGCATTTATTTTTGACAGTGAATTCAGCTATTCTTATTAGTGAGTCTGGTGGCAAATGATTGCATTGGAAGCCCCATCCTTCTCAGTTAAACACCCCCCCGGTAACACTTCTCAGACGTGAGAGATGACACTGGGAGAGGAATCCAATCTGTCAGCAGGGAGTGGTGTGCTTCCTCCAGCTTGCAATTAAATCATGTATCTCCATAACAAAAAGAATGCTTATCCATGAGAGTGCTTATCCAGGCTGGATGTGGCTCTGGGCAGCCTGGTCTGGTGGCTGGCGACCCTGCACATAGCACAGGGTTGGAACTAGATGAGCACTGTGGTCCTTTTCAACCCAGGCCATTCTGTGATTCTATGATATGGTGATTCAAAGTTAGGCACAGTTATATTGTCCTACACAACCCAGTGTAAATCAGCAGAATATATATATTTATTTAGGCAAAACAGGATTTGGGGATTTCCCCGTTCTGCAAACGCAGGATTTAAATAGGAGAAGAAATTAGAGCTTGCCTCCTGACAGCTCTTCAGTGCTATCTCCTGATGCTTTACTTTAAATTGCGCCCTGAGGCAGTAGCAGAGGTTTGCAAAATCTAAGGGAAGGTTGTTCTTAGGAAGTGGTTGGTATTTGACAAAGCCTGTCAGCTCACAGTGAGTCCTGCTTGTGCTCCTTAGGGCTGTTTGCCTTTTTGCTGCACTAAGCCCACCATTGTGTCTCTGCCATCGATCAGCATTAAATAGAGATCCCCGCTGGTTGGGGGAGCACTACTGCCCTTCCTTCCTTCATAGTTAGAGTCACTGAGGGCTCGGTGAGACTTGGCTTCAAGCCATAAGGTGGTAGCAGGCACGTGCTTTGGGATGCCATCCGATGGCTCTTCTCTTGTAGGTAAGTCACTTCTGGCTGTCTCATCCTCCCTCTGTGTGCTGGGGTGGAGTTGAGGAGCGCATCGCTCACAGCCTACCTGGGTATGTGCTCAGTGTGCTAACAATTCCCACTGGGCACGCTGTAAATATGGATTTCTTTCCTTTGGGTTCCACCTAATCTGGGGCTGGATGGCTTGCCGTTAAAGGAGCCTGTGTTTGGCAAGCCTTGATCAAGAAGCTTCTAATTCATGCTGGAGGTGGAACTGCTCCACACAGTCAGATTGGCATCGTGCAGCAGGGCTCACCTGGCTGTGTTTCCTGATAACCTCAGACTTCTGACAGCTTTTATCACAGCTTCTGCCATCAGCAAAGCCTGCAGCTGGCAGTGGTGGCTGACACACCGAGTGCTTATCGAGGGCTGCTGTGCTCTTATCCAGGTCTTCAATAATACATGGCATTGATTTTTATTTTTTTTTTCCTGTGTTGAATACTATATAGTGTTTACATTCCCCAGAATAATTCAGCAGGGTAAACAGATAGTATTCTTTGGAAGTAAAGTCAATATTAACTGCGTTCGGAATAGTATTTGCTGTCTATCTTTGATGGAAAGCGACTTTTCTCTTGCCTGTGTTTGGAAGGGGCTATAATTTCTGCACAGTATTACTCTCTCAGAATGCATGTCAGAAACTGTTTCCCCCGTGGCTGCTGTTGGTATCGAATGTATTTGCTTATCAGCAGTTTTTGCAGGCAGTAAATTCAGTTGCTACACGTGCCCGTGGCTGTTTTCCTGCTCTGTGGCCATTCACAGCTTCAGTTCAAAGGTTGAAGTCTTCCATTATTTATCCGTGTGACCTTCTGGGGCAATTTGCGGGCGTGTTTGTGCAGGGTACCCACTGGGATTGCCTTTTACAGGGGAAGCTGAGGATGCTAATGGAAATCCTGCAGTGAAGGTTGCAAGTGGCCCTGGCAGCGTGCAGCTCCCCCTCATCTGTGCAGCAAGTGGAGGTGCCACGGGTGCTGCAGCAAGACGCTGAACTCGAGTAGCCTCTGACACAGCCCAGCACCTCCAGGTTGCAGACGTGCTCATTAGAACACACCAAAACAGACCCCCTGCAAGAGGAGCTGAAGCTGTGCCTACAGCTTCGCGTGTTGCAGTTTTGTGCTGACGGTGTTTCCTCACGCATGTGCTGCTTGGAACAGCTTTGTAGCTTGGGGTGTTGCTGGGTGGCAGCACAGAGGGCCTCACATCTCTGACTGCCAGCTATGCTGCAGAGGGTTTTCTGCAGCCTGTGGCACAATCAGCTTCAGTCTCTTTCCCCTCTCAGAGGTGTTGAGATCTCCCAGGAGTCCAGTGCGCTTCTACCAGTCATCCCAAGACTCTCTAGTGGTGGATCTAGCGCATCATTAAACAAAATAAAAATAGGATGAAGCAGCTCGTGTTGAAATAGGCCCTGACGTGGTACATACACACAGCAATGTATTGCTCCTCAAAAACTGGCAGGCGGTAGATGGAGCCTCTGGGCAGAATGCAGATGCCTTGATTTTCTACCCCCCTGAGCAGTGCTGAAGAGGCCACTAGGACCAGCCAGTGGAGATTGAGATATAATTGCTTGCCTGGAGCAGTAACATATTTCTGTGTGCTGGCTGAATACCAATGAGGCCAAGAGGAAGGAAGGTATCAAACAGAATCGCAGGCAGGAGGAAAAAGGAAGTAAGTGATTAAAGGATGGGACTCAATGGCCAAGGCTGAAGGCAATAGGCTTGTTCTGATGAGAGCATTCTGCCAGAGAGTGGATTTGGTTTTGTCATGAAGTTTTTCAGGAGCTGAGTGGCGCTGCAGGATGGTGGGTGAGAGAGAATACAGGAGCCAGTGGGGGGATTGGGGGTGGGATGACCTGCCTAGGATGGTCTGGGTCCATCCCCTCCATGAATGGAGGATGTCCCATTAATGCCACTTGGCTGCTCTTCAGTGCTGCAGGGCACTGCCATGGATGTAACCCTCAGCACTGCCTTCTACGTCTTCCTGAAGGTGCGGAGTTCCAGTTTGTTTGAATTCTGTTCTTAAAAACAAACCAAACAGCCTGACCCAACCTTCAAGCCTAAGCCCCTGTGGGGAGCCTGCAGCCTGCGGGGTAGTTTGGAGCGTTTTAGATGTTGGAAAGCACTTAACCCCTTAGCTGCCTCTTGGAATGATCATTTAGGATCTGGTAGGGGAACTGAATGTGGAGATGTTGCCAGCCAAAAATAATGTAGAAGGGCACAGCCTTAGAGTCTGGGTCACTGCACATCAGCAGCTGTCTGTTTTTCCCAATGAAAAAACCTAGCGAAGGAGCTGCTGGGGGAGGACAGTGTCTTGCAGTTGATTGCTAATTGATAAGCCTCAAGCATCACCTGAGCCCCTGTTTTGTGCCAGCAGCACTTGGAAACGTGGCATTGGAACCCATATGGTGCAGGACATCCATGTGGCAGCGGGGTCAGAGCTGCCCTGGGTGCCACCAGGCTGCAGGGAGATGAGGGTGAGTGCACCACTGCTGGCCCTGTGTGACAGCAGGCAGGCTGGGGAGACCTGCACAGCTCAAGTGAATCTCTTGTCCTTTTCCCCTGCTGATTCGAAGCTTGGCTGCATAAATGGTTTAATAGGTTTGCTTTAGGGGGTGTGTTTTGAAAAGAGAACAAGCGTGTGTATTTGACCTATATCCTGCACTTCATGTCCAGGGAGCCTGGAAGGCATAATGGGGAGAGCGTGCTCTTACACGATGCCCCTCATTTTCACCTCCATTAATTTTATCGGATCGCTGCCGTACGTTTATATCAGAGTGCTAAAAAGGGAAGGAGAGAGCAAACGGCCCCGTTGTTTTCCCCTGTTCTGAAGCAGCCTGTGGGATTCCCATGCCGTCCGTCTTTTTTCAGGCTGTTAGGGGACTCATTTGCTGTTGGTGTTTTTGCAAACTAAGCCGCGCTCTTACGAAATCCTCCTCGTTGCCTCCTTGCTTTTCCTTTGTACAGCCCGTGTCCTTTGTGAAATGCGGCCCTCAGCTTCCCCCTGCTGTCCGGACTGAGGATGACAACAAGCCTGCCTCATCTGCCACCAAAATGAACGTTGTACTGCACGTCTGCGTTCCCAATGCAAGACGTTGGCTGAGGTTTAAGTAGGCTTTTTAAAGCAGTCCACTTCAGGTTGTACAGAAGTGTGCTGTTCTTCTCTTTTGCAGCTAAAAACCACAGCGACACCCAAGTGTTCTTCTACCTGTGGATTATCTTCTATTTCATCAGCTCTTGCTACACCCTCATCTGGGACCTGAAGATGGACTGGGGTCTCTTTGACAAAAATGCTGGTGAAAATACCTTTCTTCGAGAAGGAATTGTCTACCCACAGAAAGTGAGTATGTTAGAGGTGGCTTCTGCTGTTGTACCAAAATGCATTTCCATTTGTTTCAGCTGCACGTTGCAGTTGGCTGCTTTGTGCCCCCTGCATGCTGGGCATGAGGATGTTCCAGCAGCAGAGTTTGTTTCAAAGACATGCTGCTGGTGGTGCTTTGAGTGAATGAGGAGCAAATTCTCTCTCTGCTGCCTCTGCACCAGGATGCTTGTATCTACAATGAGAAGTGATGCAAACGTAAGCCAATTTAAAAACAGACCTTGGCACAACTGTGCAGTGCTTTGTGTAGATGACTGGCAGGGTCTCTTCCCCAGGAATGAAGGGGATGTGTTACTGTGTACATTGTATTGCGCAGGCAGTCTGTGTGCAAGCAACAAAGCTGATTTAAAAGTTGAAGCACTCAGGCCTGCTTCTTCCTGAAGGCCTTCTTGCTGACCTGTCCCAACTGTATCTTGTGTTCCAGGCATACTACTATTGTGCCATTGTTGAGGACGTGATCCTGCGCTTTGCCTGGACCATCCAGATCTCCCTCACTTCCATGCAGATCTTTCCACATGCTGGGGATATCATTTCTACTGTTTTTGCCCCACTTGAGGTTTTTAGGTAAGGCTGAGGAGCTTGTTTGGATTTCCTATTGCTTGTGAAACATGAGCAGAGTGGGAAGCCTGAAGCTTCTTGCTCTTTGGACTCTGAACTGGGAGGAGAGGCACTTAATCTGAGCAGGTGCTGAGGAACACTGCAGCAATGTGGGGCTGGGTCTTTGGCTGCATTTACCATTCCCTCTGCAGCTTCTGGATCTAATCTCAAAGGATGTGTTATTACCAGGTTTCACCTTAAAACTGTATCATTGGCAGAAGCATTTGATATTTCCCTTTATTTCATGTTTACAATTATTCCCAGATTCCTGCTCCTTTCCACCAATTTGCAGCCTGCCCCATTGCCCTGCGGGGTTCCAGAGCTCTTTACACCCTCGTGCTCTTGCTGCAGACCCCCATATGAATAATCTGTGCAGCCAAACTTCACTCGTGTACATGGCAGAGGTTGTCATATGTTTTTTCTTCCTCTTGTAATGCCTGCAGACTCAGGCTGTCATCATTAGGACAATGAATGAGCCTGCCAGCCTGTTTGTTCCCTGAGGGGCTGGGAGATGTCACAGCAGGTGTTGCTGGTAGTTGTTTGCCATTCCTCTGTACTCCAAGCACGTTCCCAGAGGCCATTTGTGATCGGTGGGAGTAGTCAGTGCTGCCCAGGCTCACGGATCAGTGCTTCACCAAACACAGCGGCGCCTATCAAAGCGGAACCGCGTCAATAAATCTCTCTTCTTCTCCACCCAGGAGGTTTGTCTGGAACTTCTTCCGTCTGGAAAACGAGCACCTGAACAACTGTGGTGAGTTCCGTGCCGTCAGGGACATCTCCGTGGCACCGCTCAACGCCGACGACCTGACGCTGTTGGATCAGATGATGGACCAGGAGGACGGCGTGCGGAACCGCCGCAAGAACAAGCAGTGGAAGCGCAGCCAGAGCATATCCTTGCGCAGACCTCGCCTGGCTTCACAGTACGTCCGGCCTCTCCTCCTGGAGCTGTTGTGAAGGCAGTGCCCTTTACAAAACTCCCCCTCCTGCACTGGTAGCGGTGCTCAGGGGCTTGGGCATCCAAACGTGCGAGACAGGCTCTTCCCTTGTTTCCGGGCTTCTGGCCGCCCCAAGATTTCACTTATCCTTTCATGAGATGTCACGTGAGATCTCAGATCCCTTCCCCTCCCATATCCAGACCCATGCGGTTTTTCTTTCCACCCCTCATTCTTACACCCAGAACATTCCCCCATTTTGCATCCCAGGCTCTACTGGCCGTGCATCTTTGCTGCTGTGCCTGCGCTCCAAGCGTTGCAGGATGCTTTGGTGTCTGAGCGTCACTTCTTCCCCCCAAGCACAGCTCCAGAGCCCTTGGCCAAGAGAGCAGCTCCTGGGGTGAGGAAGCACAGAATCATAGAATCACAGAATGGCCTGGGTTGAAAAAGACCACAATGCTCATCTAGTTCCAACCCCCTGCTATGTGCAGGGTCGCCAACCATCAGACCAGGCTGCCACATCCAGCCTGGCTTTGAATGCCTGCAGGGATGGGGTGTCCACAACCTCCTTGGGCAACCTGGACATGCAGGGAGCATTGTGCAGTAATGGCTGCAGAGCATCTTCCTGTTTCATCGCTTCCTGGGAGGGGGTGGGAGGAGGAAGCAGCAGCCTCAGCTCCCTGATGAGTGTTTTCTGTTTGTGTTTCTTCCCAGGTCCAAGTCTTCTGACACGAAGGTATTGATAGAGGACCTAGCAAAAGAAGTGAACACATGAAGCAGCCACGATCTCTTATTCAGCATCCTTTGTTTTCTCGTTCTGCTCCCCTCTTCCCCAAGTAACCCAATCTCTGGTACAGTTCCAGCTGCAAACAGGAGAAAACACTGAACACATTTTCCGAGCTCTTCCAGACCAGATCCTATGGACTCCAACAAGCTCACTGTGTTTTGTTTCTTTTCTTCTGCGTTAATTTTGATGTCCTATTTTAACAAACAAACAAACACAAAATAAAACATTTTACTTTCTTTTGCCAATAAAGAGGACAGTTCAGGAAAGAAGGATTGTTTACAGTCTCAACAAGGACATACACACCTGTCTGGATAAAGAAGCATCATAGGGACTCCCATTTGGGACAGTGCCGAGAACACCCTCGGTTTCTGCTTGGCCCGGTTTTGACTGGTTGAAACCGGACTTAAGTTTTTAAATCTGATTATTTTTGGTTTTATTTTATTTTTTTTCTTCATATCCAGCGCTGAGGCACTGGCTGCACTTGCAGGGAAAGTGCACTTAGAGCAGTACCTTCATTCATGAAGCTACTTTTTAATTTGATGTAACTTTTCTTATCATATATATTTCTTTTTTTGGGAAATGTGATGTATGTGTTACGTATAGTTCTCACATAATTTATGGAACCTAACAACCATCTGAGAGTGCTTTTGAGTCCTGTGCAATGAAGGTTGTACCGGTGACGCGGACCCAGGAATGTGGATGGAGATGTGCAGGGTCGTGGGGTTGTGCACCTGTTTCCCTTTGATTGCTTGCTTTCTTTTCAGCTTTAGTTGAAACCAAAGCTTCTCTTCCTGACTTTGGGTTGCTGCTCCCACTCCAGGCACTGCTGTGGTGGCAGCTGAAGGCTGGCTTGCTGTGTGACAGCAGCACACACCGTCACACCGCCCGCTGTAAGGGAGGGCTGGGTCCTGCTCCAGTGTGAGCAGCTCGAGGCAGAGCCTTCCAGCATCACGGTCCGGATCTCACGCTGGATTTCAAAGCCTTAATCACCTTTAGCTGAGCCCTGTGGGTAGGAGCAGCAGTGCGCCTTGCTCTCTCCTCCTGCAGCAGAGGCAGCACACGACAGGTCCTGCCGGAGGTGTGTTGGGCTGCCAGCAGGAGGTGGGCTCTGCTCATTGCATCCTTGCCCTGCTGTCTGTTGGCTCCCGTCTGGTTTCAGCGATGGGATTGCAGGAATCCCTGCTCTCACATCCTGGGTTCTGTTCTTTTGCCCTGGGCTGGTAGCACGGCTTCTCCCCTGACTGCTGCCTTGCATTTGCTCTGATTTTACCCGCTGTGCTTTTCGCCCGGAGGATCTGAGGAAGGAAACTCAGTTCTCTTCTTTTCATTTGGAATAGGTTAAAACAAAGTGGTGGTGGACCTGTGCCAGAACAAGGTTGGTGCTGCAGGTTGGGAACTGCAGGCTGCAAGCAGTCAATTTCTTGCTGTGTAGTTTCTCAAAGCCTTATGGAAAGCCTTTCTCCTTCCTGGCTCCTTCCCTTTATTTTTGTTTCTGCCTTTGCTGCCAGAAGAAATAAGCAAAAAGGGGAGGCGGTGTGCTGCAGCTGGCAACAATTATCTCCCAGAATAAAGCACCATTCCCTTTGGCAGGGAGCTCCCAACCTGCCGGCGGCCTCAGAGAAATCAGGAAGGCACATTCCTCCCAAACCAGCCCTGTGGAACCTGCAGCCATCGCAGCAGCATGCATTGGGATGGAGGTTGGCAATGGGCTGGGCGAACTGATGTCTGCAGGGGCCTTCAGCTGCGGTGGGTGCCCACATGATGTGGCACCGTGCACACAGGTGCAGTGAGCTGCTGCCTTCAGCCTCCCTTTAACTTCAGTTCTTATTCCAGAAGGTGATTCCGGGTTGTTTTGTCTCCTTGGTAAAGAGGGTTTGGGGCTCCTAGGGGAAGAGCGGATGATCCTTGCGGCAACCGTGCCGCCCACAGCTGGCCTCACTGCTGCTGGAGGGTTAGCCTGGCCCTGGGAACACCACTGGAGAAAGGCAGGTCTGTGGGAGGAGGAGAGGAGAGGGCTGCTGGCACCCTTTGGTGTCCAACCATGGCCTGATCCTCTCGGCATCGGGGCTGCAGAACGCCCCAGCCCCTCCCCATCCCTGCCGCGTTGGTCTCATGGTTCTGCCGCCCCGACCTGTAGATATCCAAAGTAATTATGGAGTGTGATTAGTCCTCTGTGGGTGCTTGCTTTCTTCCTTTCTCTTTTGCTATCCCCTTCTCCACTCTTCTCTCTGGCTAAGTGGAAAAGGTGAGGACAAAGACTTGCCGCTTGCTTGGACTCATGGTGTACTGTGACTGCGCTGTTAGCTGTCTCCTCTTTCCTTCCCAAATGGATATCATTTCTGAAGTGTGGAATAACCCTTCTTGATAAGTAGGTTTTAAAAAAGAAAAAGAAAAAAAAAAAAATGCACAATGTGATACTGTTTCCTAGTTCCTAGGTGGTTGTATAAAAGCAAAGTTACTGTGATTGTGTTTTTAAGAGGAAAAAGTGATTGGTTACTCAATCTGTCCTTTTTTTCATTATTACAAGCTCTTTGTTTTCCAATGACCTGACACTCGTTTGTCGCTGCTCTGCGCCTGCCTTCCCCCCCTCTGTGCTGTAGGGCTGCACCCACCGGGTCCCCAAATCCACGCCGTGGGGCTGTAGGGCCTGGCAGCTCCCCAATGGGATTTGCGGTGCTGCCACCGGAAATTGCGATGCCCCTGCCCTGCTGGGGCTGATTTAAGAAGATAACGGCGCTTTCTCGTGCTGGTGGGGGCCAGAGCTGGGGGGTGGGGGATTAAAACAATTTCATAATCCCAGCGATTTCCTCCGGGTCCCGGGATTATGAAACCAATGATGAATAGCAAAAGCCACAGCGTGCAGTGGGACCGCCTCGCCCATGGGCCCTGCAGCTCCCCAGCGTGTCCCGTGTCTGCAGGTAAGTGCTGCCCAGTGTGGGGGGATCGAGGTCCCAGCGGTGGGATGGGGCTGTGCAGGGAGGGGTATGCCCTGGGGGCTGCTGGTGAGGGCACGGCTGTGGGGTTCAGCCTGGGAGCAAGCAGGAAGAGCCAGAATGCGGGTGATACGCATGGGATGCTCCAGCACTGTGGGTGAAAGATGCTGGAGAAGAACCATGGGGCGCTTGGGGATGGGGGAGCGCTCTTGGGGTGCGTGGGGGCCCTTTGCACAACCAGAAGGCGTCCCATGGGTGGCCTTGGCACTGCTCTAGGTGTGCTGTGTCCCCGGTGTCCCCTGGGCTGTGTGTGACCGCGGTGGCCCCGTGGCCGCCTCCAGCTCGGGTGTCAGCATCTGCGCTGGGTTTGGCTGGGAGCCCTGCCATGGAGCGAGTGGAGGAGGAGGAGGAGGAGGGGGAGGCCGGGCGGGAGGCAGGGCCGGCCGCAGCCAGCAGCCCAGCCAAGCGGCGGAGCTCTGGCAGGGCTGGAGTGGCTGGGATTTGCTGCTTTTTTTTTAATTTCCTCCCTATGCTTCCTTCCCCTCTTCCGCTTTCTTCTCCCTCCATCCCGGCCCTCTCCCGATGCTCGGGGTAAGCCCTGCCCTCGTGGCTGTCCTGGCTCTGTGGGGGCCCACTGTGACGGAGGGGTGTTTCTCGTCCCCAGCACATTGCGGGCTCCCTGGGAGGGGATGAGAGGCTGCTGGGCCGAGCGGGGCACGGAGGGCTTTATCGGTGCCGTCGGGAAGACGCTTCCATGCAGGGTTTGTGCTCCGAGGGCTTGGCATCACCTGGGGACGGCCACATAGGCCACAGGCAGGCTGCCCTCATGCACTTTCTCCTCCCAGGGCACATGGAGGGGCCCCGTCCCGCAGAGCCCCTCCGGGGCCCCCACGCCGTGCTGGAGGGCAAAGTGAAGGCGCTGAAGGAGAAGCGTGGAGCCGAGCGGCCCTCGCCCAAGAAGGCCCGTGCCCGCAAGGGGAAGGCTGGAGCTGAGGAACAGCGGGTGCAGCTCCGCACGTACCTGACTGATGGGCTGCTGGATGGCACTGCATCGTGGGGGGAGCGGGGGGGGCTGGGGGGCTCTCCCCCTTTGGTCTCTGCTAGCAAGGAGGTGACGGAGGGCCCGGAGCCACTGTCCTTGGCTGAGAGGGTGGAGAGGAACCGGCAGCTGCTGCACGAGGTGCTGGGGATGCATGGTGCGTGCCTGGGCCTCTGCTGTCACTTCAGGTCTCTGTGGGGACCTCTCCTATAGAGATGGGCCCTGGGCAGCCAGTCTGCGGTGGGGGAGGGCTGGGAGGGCTTTGCCATTCCACCTATTCCCACCTATGCCATTCTATAGATCTATGACTCTATGACTCTTCAGTCTGCATCCCCACAGCCCTGGGGTCTTGTGCCCGTTTCCTGGGCTCTCAGATGGCGAAACATGCTTTGGAGAATTGGCCCCAGAGGGAGTTGGTGTGAGGCTGGGAGCTCCCAGCGATGCCTTCCCCCTTCTCCCATTCCAGAGGTGCCAGCAAGTGATGGCGACTGGGACTCAGGGGTCTCACTGCAGGATGCTGAGGGCTGCAGGTAGGACTTCAAATGCTTCAACTGGGGACAAAGGGGTCTGAGAGAAATGGGGTGCGGGGGTACCGTGAGGAGACAGAGCAGGGCTGGTGCCAGGTGTCTCTGACAGGAGAGAGGAGTGGGACAGAAATGTCTCCCCAGTGCTTAAGAGCTTACAGGAGGTAGGAATGCATAATCTCATTGGCCTAATGATAAACCTCAGCAGAGGGGCTAAAAATATGAGGAGGGATGGTCAGGAGAGAGGGGCTGCAGCAGTAATGCTGGGGGCAGCGTGGAGCAGGTCTGGGGACAATTTGGAGTGGAAGCACTTACATGGCAATGATCAGTTTTCCATTATTCTGGCATCTGAGGCTCAGTTGGTGCTGGTGGGCACAGGTGGGATGCCTCGGGGAAGCCAAAATTGAGGTTCGTAGCAGTGGCTCCCCACAGTTTGGCACAGGGCATAGGTGTGTTCCAGCTGTGGGCAGGCTGGGGTGAGGATCCCCAAAGTGATTGCCGAGCTGATTATTTTAATCATGAGGATTAGGGCTGCAGCCAACGGGGGGAGGAGGGCAGTGCAGGAAGGGGGCCGTGCACGGTTGTGGGTTCCCCCTAGGGCAGGGAACCCCTGTGCACGTGGATAGAGGAATGGGGCTGAGCACAGCCCAAAGCTGCAGGGCTGGGGCAGCACCTGCTTCGGTTTGCTCATGTGCCTCTGGGATGTCCCTGGTGCAGGTCATGGCCCCAGGCTTGTTGCCGAGCCCCTTAAATTGCTGCTACTGCAGTGCGACATCTCTGGGGCTGCCTGCGGGGGTGTCCCCAGTGCCTGCAAGCCAGGCCCCGCTTTCTCCCCGCAGAGCAGCCCCGTCACTGCTAAACCACTTTTAATCCGTGTTATTTTTTGCTAATCCTTTCCTGCAGGGCCTTTGTTCCCGGGCAGGAGCTCGAGCTGAGCCCACGCCATGAGCAGGCCAAGCAGCTGCTGCAGCGCGCCCGCATGAAGGCTCGCACCAACCCGCTGCGCGCCAGCCACGACCTCCTGCTGCTGCCCACCGCCGCGCACCCCAGGTGAGCCCTGCGCCGTGCCACATCCCGCCCCACATCCAGCTCCTCTCCTGTGACTGAGTCCTGACCCCTGCTCCCTTTTTGTATGCATGACCGCCCCAGCGGAGGTGCGGCGCAGGGGCCGTACGCAGGGTCATGTGGACTCAGTGCTGCTGGGCTCATTAGCCACACTCCTCACCCCGTGGTGGAGGATTGTCCCCACAGCTCGCCAGTCCTCTGTCCCCACTGCAGGGAGCCCAGCGGGACACCGAGGCCCAGCGTCACCACAAGAGAGGTGGAGGGCCCGGCGGGCGGCAGTCTGAGCGACTCATCCAGCGGGGAGTCGGGCTGCAGGGAGCCCCGGCGGCCACGGGGACCCTCCCCGTCCCGTGTGCGCTTTGAGGACGAGTCGGCCCGCGACGCTGAGGTGCGCTACCTGGAGCGGCTGCGGCACCGCCGGGTGCTGGGCTCAGCACTGGAGCGCAGCGGTGGAGAGCCCCGTGGGCACCCCGGGGATGGCCCTGCCAAATCCCGTGGTGGTGATATCCCTGCTGGGGGCAAGTGCCAGGCCTGTGGCTCCCTGCTCGGTGCCGCCGTGCCGGCTGAAGGCAGCCCCATGGCACGGGGACGGGAGCGCACGGGTCCTGGTGCTGCTGCCCAGCCTGAACCCAAGGCCCGGCCGCTGGGTCCTGGGGGGTCCCCGCTCTGGATCCTGCCTTCCCGGCAGCGCATTCACACTGAGAAGATCAAGGAGACTTATATCGGGAACGTCGCCCGTGGGGATGAGGCAGACTCGGCACTGGAGAGCACCGACACCTCCGATGGCTGCCGCACCGACAGCGAGGAGCCGCGGCCCCGCAGCCCCCACCCACGGGGGCATCGGGAGCCCCGGGTTCGTGGCCACCGCAGCCCCCGCACCCTAACGCAAAAGGAGAAGGTCATGAGTGTGGCCGGGGGCTCGGGGACGCTTTGTCCCCCACCAGCGGGTACAGCTGGCAGCCAGGATGGGGGGCACACCGGTGAGATGGTGGGCAAAGGAGAGCCACTGGTCCCCTCCTCGAGGCCAGCGGGGCCTTCCCACACCCCCTCCATCATCACCACTACAAAGGCCTGCTCCCAGGTGCCTTGCAGGACAAGTGTCCCTGCTAGCAGCCACCAGTGTCCAGAGCCTGATGCTGGGAGCACTTTGCCCCAACCTAAGGGTGTGGGGCAGCGGCGGGGGCCCTGTGGCCCTGTGTGGCTCCCGGGGAGCCCCCTGCGTGCCTTGTCCACTAATAACTGCAACAACACCCACGGACAGGGCTGTAGGAGCCGCCCCCATGGGCTGGGGACACAACCTGGGGAGACCACCAGGACGCCCGAGGCACAGCACGATGGGAACGCAACACCTGGGTGAGTGGTGAGGGACTATGAGCATCCCTCATTGGTTCAGCACCAGGCTTGGCCTCGTCACATAGAAGTCACATTGGAGCAGGGTGAGGATGTTTTGGGGGACAAGCTACTGCTAAACACTGTTGGACATTGTCCTGTAGGGAGCCAGCACGGGCAACAAGCCGGAAGGGCAGTGGGGATGCGGCATCCTCAGGGCTGAAGCGGCTCCTGTGCAGCCTGAGCCAGAGCACCAAGCAGCGCCTGGGCCGCTTCCGCTGCTACAGCATGGAGCAGCTGCCCGGCCCTGCACCCAATGGCCCCAGCGTGAAGCGGTCGCCCTCACTGCAGGCACTGGTGAGCAAGGGGGAGATGGGGCTTTGTTGGCTTGTGAGGGCTCTGGAGGCTGGGGAGGTTGAGGTGTACGTAGCAGGGCGCAAGGTTTTGGTGCCACGCGTCTCACCATGTCACACTTCTCCAGGTGTCACCATTCCGCCAGCCCCAAAAAGCCGCTTCCATACAGAGCCTGCACAGCCTGCTGGGCAGGGCGCCCCGAGCCAATGCGTACCTGCTGTCCCAGCCTGGGGACGGGGACAGGTGGGATGGGAACACGGCCACGCTTAGCCCTGGCCTGGTGGTGCCGTGCTGGGCTCACAGCATCTCCCCGCAGGAAGGCAGCCTCAGGGCCACGGCACTCGCTGAGCGTGGAGGACATCGGTGCACCCGACCGGCCACGCATAGTGGGGCGTGTGGTGGAGGTGTTCCCCGATGGCACCAGCCTGCTGGAGATAGAACGGCCACCACACGGCTCCTTCGGCTTCCAGGTCACCTCCGGGCACGGCCGGCCCGACACAGGTACTGTGGCTGTGGAACGGTAGACCAGCTGAAGTAGGAAGGGACCTTAGCGAAGACCATCACTCATATGGGTTTTGTGCGCTGGGGGCTGGTGGCTCACATGGCAGCTCAGTTGCCCGCACCTCTGTCTGCAGGTGTCTACGTGCAGGAGATGGCGGACGCGGGCACAGCCAAGCTGTATGCGGGGCTGCTGGGGGTGGGCGATGAGATCCTGCAGGTCAACGGGGCTGCTGTGTCGGGCCTGGGGCTGGCACGCATCCGGGAGCTGCTGCTGCAGGCAGACAGCCTGGCCCTGCGTGTGCTAAGGCAGCGCCCGGCTCGGTGGTAGCGGCGCGGCTCCAGGAGGAGTGGAGCAGTCTGCAGGTGCTGCCAGAGTCCTGCATGGAGCTAAAGTGCAACAAGGACCTCACCAAGACAAAGGGCCTGGATCTGCCCTGCTTATGTGCAATGCGCGGGTCCCTGCGGGGATGGGGACGGCAGGGCATCCTGGCAGGCAACGTGGGACAAGGACCTGCCCCTGGCATGGGGACATCTCAGCTCTCCGGCCCTGGATTCTCCCTGCCTCAGTTGGAAACCTCTGCCCGTGAGCTGGTGGGTTTCTCTTAAATTATTTCAAACTGCAAAAAGAAAAAAAAATCACAGAACTGTAAATATATATATATATGTATGTATATGTGCAATGACAACAGGTGGTGTTGTGTGTATATATAGGTAATGAACGTGGTGCAGGTGGCACTTGGGATGGAGATGATACCTGGGTGGAGCAGAGCAGAGCAGGTGGGGCTGGGGACGGCTGCGGGTCCTTCACAGTGGTGGTCTCTCAGCTTCTCCTGCCTTGGTGCCCAGGCTGGGGTGTGCTGTCTGCTCCTGATGGGATGGAGCTGCTGCACTCTGGTGCCACACAGGCAAAGAGCCCCCAAGCTTGTCCCCGTTACCACAAAAGAGACCGGTGTTTTCCTCTGCCGTCACACACCGGCAGCAGCAATGCGTTTATTTAGGATTCAAGAGAGGGGCAACACCACCAACAGAAAAAGCAAAGGCAGTTGGGTAGCAGTGACACCTGGACAGACACGGAGCACGGCAGCAGGGCTGCAACCTGGCACAGTGTGCGAACAGAGCACTCCTGCGTGGAGCATCAGGAGCCACTCCTGGACGACATACAACCGTACTGAAAACCCACTCTCAGAGAGGTCTGAAGCCCAGAGCACTGTGCAGACACTGCCAGAGCCTGCCTTCGGAAAGAGACAGTATGTATTTCTTACAGCATAACCAAAAGAGACAAGATGTTGTGCAATGACTGAGAGAACTGCCAAGATCACTTGTGCAGGTTGGCGTTAAGGGCACGTGTGCGTTCATTACAAGAGGAGATGCTCCAACCTGGCAGGGCTGTTGGGTCTCCCCTCATCCCAAGCCTGGCTGCAAAAGGGGCACAGTGCTACCAGTGCGTGCAAGGGCTCAATAGGAGGGACTGGGCAGACCCAAACAGAGCCAGAAACCACCAGGGCTATGTGTCCTGGGTGACAGAGTGCTTCAGGTGCCGAATTTCCTTTCTGTGGAGTGTGGTTCTGGAGGCCTGGTTTGCAGTGTCAGCACCAGTCAGCTTCCTCCCCCAGCCCCATCTGAGACCCAGATGGAAGGTGCAAGTCAGCCTGCCTCCCATCTTTTGCTGCTCTTCCCCCTCCTAAAGACAGGAGCAGACTTCACTGCAAATCTTTTTCTTTCCTGAAGCATCACCCCTTCCTCCTGTAATCAACTGCACAAAACCCATCTGTATTTCTCCCCAGTAGCACTGCCAGGGTGAGCTCTCCTCACAGCGTTTTGCTATCCGTGCCTGGCCAGCACTGCTGAGGCAATCCCCTTGCCAAACAACCCAAAGGTAACAAAAGCACTGGGAAGTGATACAGAACGTGACCTGGCTCTGAGCTTCCTGGCTCTGGGTTGCTTACAAGTGAAGTTCCCAAAAAAAAAAAAAAAAAAAAAGCAATTGGGGAAAATTAAGACATCCTATTTACAAGTTTGTGTGCACTTAAGGTACACAGTTAGGCCCATTCCACTGATAATGCATCCTGCAGCCGCAGAATGAATGCGGCTCCAACAGTCATCAAAAATCACTAAAAGAACTTTTCCTTAAAAAAAAAAAAAAGTTATTTTAGACCTGACAAATCACTTGCCAAAGGGAAGCAGCTGTTAAACAGAAGCTTGGTTATACAAGGGGAAAGAAAGCATCAGTCAGGGAGCCGGAGAGGCTTGTGTAACAGGAGGTGACTTGACGAGCTGTGTGAAACCAGCCTCAGGCTGATGCCCCAGCCCTGCGTGTCCATCGAAGGCAGGACAGCACACCTGCAGCTCACCTACCTGCAGCATGCCACCCCCTGCCTCGGGGTCCTGGATGTGGATGCTGCAGGGTCTTGGTGCTAACTGGAAGGCATGGTGCTGGCTGGGGCTGCCCTTCCTTGCTCTGGGTGCGTGTTGCTGCGGGGTTTCAGGCCACTGCTCCTCCCAGTGATGCTTCTGGCTGGCAAGCATCCCACAGGCTGGCGATGCAGTTTGTAATGCTCAGTGAAACAATTCCACCCCCCGTACCCTGCCAAGGCTCCCTGCTCCGTGTCCGCACAGAGGGCTTGGGACTGCTGCAGCTGGCTCATACCCGCAAAGGGTTCGGTCCCCTCCAGGGTCTGGGGACCAGATGGCAGCACCGTGGGGCAGGAGGCAGCCCGACGGGATCTGGGAGCCACAACTGCTTCCTGTCCTCTGTCTGCCCTCCCCAGAGCTGGGGGAGATGTTGGTGGAGCCAGGCTTTGGTCCTCAGAGAATGGTGAGAGCCGGGCACGGGTCTTCTTGACAGGGATCTCTGTGGTCGGACGGAAAGAGTTTCATTTCCCCGTGCTACAGGGGAGAGGAGGCGTCCAAGGAAGTTCAGTCCATCACAGGACAATCAACAGGACCAGCACCACCAGCAAGATGACAAAGAGGACGATGATTGCGCACCACTGCCGCCGATCTGGAAGAGAAAGGAATGGTCGGTCCTCTTACTTCAATAGAAGGAAAGCTGGAGGAGAGCTTTTCCTTACCACGCTGCTTTCACTGTGCTTCCCTTCAAAAGGAAAGCTCCCTCACCAGCAGAACAAGCACCGTGCCCTTCTGCAGGCTCCTCCCTACTGCCTGTGGGGTGACAGCGCTTCTCTTGCAGGATGCAGCTGCTTTTTGGGACTGCGGTGTGGAATTTTGAGGTTTCTCCCCAGTCAAGTTCAAACAGATTTGATAAGCTGGTTCAAAAGTGATCAGGAAGAAGCAGAGAGCTGCTTTGTGTTAGTGCTTGTGGATTGACCTGTTTGTGCTCTGCACTGCCTCTAGGATCTGCCTTAGGGAGCTCAGCACATCACTGCAGAAATTCTTAGCTTTTTGGAAAAGATATGAATGCATTTCGGAGAACAAAACCATACCAGCCTGTACTGCTGCTCTACAACGTCTGACACCGTCCTGCTCCTACAGTGAAAGTCTCTCCCATCTGGATTCAAGCTCGCCTCCGACTTCCTGGCACCAGGAACCCCACTGTCCCTGGACACAGCGCAAGCTGCGACCGCACCGCAAAAGCCACATGACTCGTGCAGGGCCTGCCTTCCCCCACATGAGCTCTGTCTGCAGCAAGCTGTGAGTGGGCGACACCGGGCTGCACAGATGCTCTCTGTCCACGGCCACGTCTGCACCGGCAGACATCCGGCCCCTGTGAGATGGTGCAGTGTGGGGATGGAGCTGCTGGCACCACTCACTGAGCGCTGCAGCCAGCCCTGGGAAGAGCCGTCCCCATCAGCGCCAGCGGCAGCACGGATTCCCCGTGAGCTCCCTGCCCAGCCTGATCCTGTAGAGCGGTTCCCTCCTCCCTCCCTGCTGCTCCCACCCCCCACACGCGAGCACCGGCAGCGTAGGAGGCGACGCAGAGCGCCGCAACGTGGGGAGCGAGCGGCGGGGACTTCCCGGCAGGCACGAGCTTCCTGTTTGCTCTGCCCACGGCACCCGGCCGGCCGCCAGCCCACCACGTTCAGGCACAGCCTTATAAGGACTTTTCTCGTGGGCTCAGCCTCCCCAGCGCAGAAATCTCCTCTCCTCACCACCAGGAAACACGTCCGACTGTCCTCCCGTCGGCAGCGCTGGCGCCAGCAGCGCTCAGGCAGGCGAGGTTGGCACAGGGACTTGCTGCAGCTGGAGAAGGCACGCAAGGTGGCAGTGTTTTGCTCGGCAGGTAGCCTAGGAAACCTCGAGCAGCACGAGAGGCTGCAGAACTCTCCTTCCTTATCGTCTAAGAAGGGGTTTTTCCCAGTGCAGCAGTAACAACATCAATAGAAAGGCGCCTGTATATAACACAAAGGCTTAAGGCAGACTGCAGAGCAGTATCTGGGCATGAGCAGCTGCAAGGTTTGGACGCCTTCTCCCTCTTTAACCTCTCAAGCAGCTGGAGCTGCTCCCTCCCCTCTACTTGGCTCTGGGAGCTCATAGTGCTCCGTCCCTAAAATTCACAGATGTGCCTGCCCCTTTCCAGGCCCAGAGCCCACCCCCCTGGACCTACCACTCGTCATGTGAGACACTTTAGCGAGCTTCTTCATGACGTTATCGAGCCGTGAGTGAGTGCTGTCCAACTCGTGGGAGAAGTCATCCAGCATCCTGGGGACAGAAGCACAGTAGTGGTCAACAAGTAAAGCAATAGGTGCCTTTGGCATCATTTGCTGCACTCATGCATGCTCATCAGAACACAGTGGATGAGAAAAGCAACACAGCATGGTCTCCTGAAAGCACCCAAGGGGGAAAAAAAAAACCCTGCTGAAGCAGCAGCTCAGCTTTGGTGGAAAGTGAGAAGTCATGGGGACACCTGTTGGACTGGTCCCCCAGCTCTGCTTATCTCTAAAAGGTGAGCAGTGGGGGTTTCCTCCTTTGAAGATGAAAGTTTTGCTTATAATCCATGATTAGCAGTGAATGTGTAGATCAAGGTGCCAGTTTGGACTTTAAATCCCTTCTCTTGCTGAGGGCTAGCACTTGAAGCTAAAATCTTGTTCCACTCTGGTATCAAGCAGGACTGAGATTTGCAATTGCTTTTAAGGTGCTTTTTAAACTCTACAGAAGTTACCCCTCCAGTTCCTCCACACAGCAACTGTAAAAGATCTGAAAGCCTTCCTGTAGCTGTGCTTTGTCAGGGCCAAGAACCCACCTGAAGACAGACAAAGCACATCCAGGATCAAAGCAATCCCAGCCATCTCCAGTGAGCAGAACTTTAAAACATAACACTCTTAAAAGCACGGAGAACAAAGAGTTGTAGAAAAAAGCCGTATTGCCTTAATTATCTGCTAGCAAGCACTGATGGCTTATGTGGTGACCTGGGAACAGATGCACCACACCAACCTGCCGTGGCCAGGCTTCACACAGGAGGTGCTTTGGAGTTCCTCCCATTCACCAAAGACATCACAAGGGCTCACAGCCCTCCAGACTCTCCTCGGCCAAACAAGGGGGGTTTAGGCACAAACCCTTCGTGTCTGTTAGTCTGCACAAGTGAGAATTTCATGCACTTCTTTCCAAAGAACGTGCACAAGGAAAGAAATCTAATTTATATGTAAATGGGTGGATACAAGCTACTTTGTGAGCTACCCTTTAACCCTTTGTGTGGGTGAGGATTATTTTTAGCTTTAACTATGAATGCAGCTCTGTGTGACAAGCTGAGCTCTGAGCTCCCAGGGCACAGTTGTCTGGGTTAGCACAAAACCCCACGGAGTGGGAAAGCACCCACTATCCTTAATAGGCAGCACTGCCTTCCCTCAGCCATTGCACACTGCTGGCTGCTAGAAGCCAAGGAGCTTTACTGCGTGCCTTAAGGCTGGTGTTTAAAAACGAGAGAAGAGAAGGTGTTTAAAGAGAGAAGGGAAGGTAAACTGGCAGCTAAACCTGCCCCAGGTGCAGGTTTGAAAGGAACATGGCTGCGGTAGGATCCTTGCAGGCAGCAATATGAAATGCTTTCCACGGCCTGAAATCAAAGGCAGCCTAAGGTGCTGCAGATGAGCTAGGAGAGGCTGCCTGAGGGACCAGGAAATTCAAGGATGCAACAGGGGTATCAGCGAGGACCCCCAGCTGTGCTGCAGCAGGCTGCACACCTGCAGGGCCTTTGGCACCCTGTGACATACTTACACTGCCTGCTCCTCCAGCTCCCCGCCGATGCGCTGGGACATGTTCTTCAGCACCCCAATGCTGCCAGAGACCAGCTCCAACTGCTCATCTTGCTGCTCCACAATCAACTGGGGCCAGAAAGAAGGAAAAACGGGTGATTATACATCTTCCTTCTGCAGCTGGGTCACAGCCAGCTGCTCATGTGGACAGATGCTCACCAATTCTGCCAACATCAACTGTGGTGCCTGGGAACAGACCTAAGGTTCCAGGAAACAAGGACCGTGTTTCTAAGAAATGTGTGAGAAGTGGCAGCAGCAGGAGAGCCGTCCCCTGTTCCTGTGGCACAGCTGGCTGCAGTTTCCTCAACCATGCCTCCAAATTCAGCCTCGGCTTAGCAATGCCCCTTCCCTGCTGCAACCTCTAAGATGAGTCTCTGAAGGCAGCAAAACCTCAAGCTTTGCTGCCCGGAGCAGGAGCCTTGCTGAGGTAGTGTATGGGAAATGCTGCAGTTAACGAGGGGTTAACACAAATAAGAGGCTGCTGCAGCTTCTAGAGCTAAAAATAACACGTCTGGCTCTGAAAGTGCCAAAGGAATAGGTCTGCTGATGGCTTAAGTCACTTTCAGGGCACAATCATGCTAAGGATTAGCTTT